ACTTTTTTCCACAATACTTTTATGAGCATTGCTTATTTGTCAATAAAAACTGGATTATATAAACTTATCTCTCTTCAAATTAAGTTTATTTATTAGCTAATGTCGAGAGTATTACATGTTTATGTTCACAGCTGGTCCCACATCTGCTCCTGATTGATTCACCAAAGAGATGATTCCTAACTCGCTATAAATAACCAGATTTTCTTATCTCAGTATCTTCATCTTGAAGAATCCCCCCTCACTCTACCAACCACTAATTAAGGCTTATTAAAAGCAGGTTTAAACATTTTGAAACCTATTTTAATAGCTCAATATTGTTACCCCCCTTAAGCAATATATATTTTTGATTGTCTGCAGAAGAAACTACTGTTATACAATGTCTTGCCTAATTACACTAATTAAGCTTTTGAATGTAACTTTAAGCTAAATAGTAGTGTCTTGAAAAATATCTAGTAAAATATAATGCACTGTCATCATAGCAAAGATAAACGAAATAAGTTATTAAATCTGTAATGTTTAAACTGTGTTTTAAGCATCTTCACTGTAAGAAAAACTTCAGCTAGAAAAGTCCTTCAGTCAAGAGCAGTGAGTGATTTTCTCCTTTTGTTGTTTGATTAATAATAAAAACAGACAGCAGCAGGGATATTGCGCGCTGTCTCTTTAAGAATAGTGCGACTCTGATATGGTTTCTCTTTCACGTGGCTTTTGATTCTCAACTTGTTTGTTTATTACACAAATGAGGGTTAATATGGATAATCACTAAACACCGCGCTCTGACACAAATGTGCATTTTACCATTAAAGCGCTCACATTAAGATGGCGTTAGATTACACTCACACGGCATGGGCTCTTTGGCGATTTTAAAAATATGACGGATGCGCAACCCGTGCTGCAAAAGTTACATTACAGTACATGCTTTTAGTCATTTTTACGTGGAACTGAGCTTTGCAGAGCAATAAATGAGTACAACTGGAAAAGGGGCGGTATATACTGGAATAATCGTTTATCTCGATTAATGGTTTTTCAAAATCGTTAGAAGCCAAAAATCGAAATCGAAGCCAGATTTCCGATTAATTGCACAGCCCTAGTCTCTGGTTAAAATCCTTCTTAAACCAGTTGACATTTCGGTTCGGAGTTTGCTCGTTCTCCCCATGCTCATGTGGGTTTTCCGTTAACCATCCTATCTGTCATTAGCCAGAAATAAGTTGGGGGAGTTCATCAAGATTTATCTGAGCTCAAACTCCGCTCTGCAAACAAGAGGGAGCCCAGGGCTCGAGGATCTCATAAGCTCAGGGCTTTCTCCCGGGACAGCATACCAAACAAGCTTTGACAATTGAAAAGCATGACAATTTTTATTATTGTGTAAAACTGGATAAAAATATGCCTCGTTTCAGAGCATGCAAAAAAAACAAAATAAAAATGTCATATGATCAGTCAAACAATATGGGACTTTGGATGCAGCATGAGAACAATCTGTGGCATGGGAATGAATGTACAACACGGACATCATAAATATAAACTTGCAAAGTCTAAACTAAAAACAATGTTTGCAGCACAAATTTACAGCTCCATGTAGTGTAGATGCAGAAAACCCCAATCTGACACGCAGAGCTCATTTAAGCTTTTTACAATGCAATTCAATGTGATTTTCCTCTTGATTTTTTAAAATATATGCACAGCTATAGCACTCTTTGATCATCACTGAACTTCAAATGATAAATAAAAGCTGTCACGATCAATAGAAAATTTAAACAAACATTCCTTTTAAATAAAAGTCTGTTTACTTTCAGTTTATGCTCTGCTTTCGATGAACGTCAGTGATATGTACACTAAATATCACATTGCTTCTAGTGAATATGACACCTGATCTTTCCTGCCTGGCAAACCTAATGAAAAAAATCTAATGCCGGTGCCAAAAACAAACAAATGTAAAATTTAAAAAAAACAAAAATAAATTCAGCCATTATTTAGTCATTTACTCAACACCAAATGCAGATATATTGATATTAGATATGTAAGGAGAGACAGAGAAATACAGTAGTACAGCACAATGATTAAATGTGAACTGTCTGTGATGTAATCACAAGTGGCGAGTGGGCTCAGTGAATTTGAAGTGTGCACTGACCTTCTCTAACCACCTAGTAATGATTAAACTATCGCCATAAAACTATAAGTGAAGGATTGAGAGCAAATGAAGAGGCTGGAGGTCACCCGGAAAGGTCACAAGGCAAACAAAGACAGAAAGATTAAAAATTGCCACTGCTTAGCATCAAAACTGTGTCAACTGTATGGTCCTACATTTAGACAATGCTAATTTTTAAGTAATTTTTTTTGTTTATTCTCTTATTCACTACGAGTCGCTCATTCTCCTTCCCTGACTGTGTATACAGTGAAAATACATCCTTCCTTTTAACCTAAAAGTTTACAATTGGAGCCAGACAGAAATTTTGTAATGCTTTTTGTTTTCAGCACTGAAAAAAACAACCTTACAAAGGTGAGAAGAGGCTAACAATAATGTGGGAGTCTCAATCAAGACAGAGAGCAAAATGTAATTGAATTTCTGCTTAGAATGTGCACACATGAAGAGATTCTATAGGTAGATTTATAGGTGTCTTATTTGTAATTCAAACAAGACAGAGATACAAACTCGTGCAAATCACAGAAACAAAACAATTTGGTAATAGATTGATATACAGTTATGTCATCCTGTACAGTCAAATACTTGGGTGTTATACTGTATTAGACAGCAACTTTTCTTTTGAAGACTTCACAAAATTATTACAAAAATTTACAGAAACTGCCTTGTAAACATCAGTTTCTGCTTTATGACATGAAGCCTGGATGATTGCAATTCTCTTTTATATGGTTGTCTTGCATTTCCCTAAGTTCAGGTCAAGAAAATATTCACATCACTTCAATTTTATATGCTATGCACTATGATTTTTATAGTTCTGTCATTTAAATGACAAAAAAGTGCTACTTAAAACAGTGCAGAGCTCTAAAAGTTGAACTCTTTTGCATTTTATTTCAGGCTAAGACTACAGGAGTTTTAACCTCAATTATACCAGATTTTCACCTCCCAAAAAATCGGAGATAAAATCTAGTCGAGGACCCCGATTGATTAGTTCCAATTTTTCAGCACAGCCTTGTTAGTTTCAAGCAAGTCTATCACGTTCTGTAAGGTGAGAAAATTTAAAACTCTCAGTACTTAAGAGGGCAAAGTCTAAAACTCTGGAATGATCTTTCTCAAAATATGTTTAGAGCTTGATTAAATATTCACCTTTAGACACGTATGGCTGTGTATACAGCCATATAAATTATCTGAAATGTTTTAAACAGCATCTGCCTTAATCTTTCCCTATGGAGGTAGAGATCATGCTATTTCCAGTTTGAAATCACTCTCTGGTTGCAAAATAAAAATTTTCCAAAATTTGTAATCATAATCACACAATGTAGCCATAGAATCACTCATGTTCATTTTAATATCATTAACACTTTCATTTAGGGACCAATTCTGACTATTATCAGTGGTTTAATGCCTGCCTTTTTTAAGATATTGTCTGTTTATTAGTAATTATAAACAGGATTGGGGGTAATGCAATTACTTTTTAAGTAATATGTAAAGTAACCCATTACTTTAAAAAAAATGGGTAATAATATTGGAGTTACTTTTTTGAAAATGTAAGGCAAGTTACTTTTTTATTTAAATTAATCAGCTTTTAAAAAATTAATTGCTGAATTAAGATTAGTCACAATGACTCACACAGTCGATGAGAGAATGTGTTTATTATTTTGACCGTATCAAAGAAAAGGGCATTGTCTCAATAGACAGTGATTTTACTTAAGACAAATAGTACAAAAGGAGCATTTAAACTTTCAATAATATGTATATATGGCATGTATAGCATATATAGGGGTCAGGACATTCTCAGATAATATTATCCAAAAATATCAATTTTTTAAACGTTTCCTAAAGGTAAATGTAGATGTAGATTTTACAGTGTGTTGTTAATTGCAGAGCTCCTCTATTTAAAAAAAAAAAAAAAAAAAAAGTTCAGAAAGAAATCAAGCCTAAGCCAGGAAATAAAAACGCTAAAGTAACGTAACGCAACACTTACTGTACTATATAAAGTAACTAAGTAACATGACTAGTTACTTTTTGGGGGAGTAACTCAATATTGTATTGCATTACTTTCAAAAGTATCTTTCCCCAACCTTGCTTATAAAGTAAATATTCAGCATGATCTTGTTCTAATCTCTAATCCTATCCAATGCAGAAACCCAACTACTACCTTAATAACTACTGTAATTAACTGTATTACTGTATTAATCAGCAGAAAATTAGGAGTTTACTGAGCTAAATTACAGTTAATGATTTAATAATAACAAGAATTGTACCTTGTACCTGAAAATGTGTGTCCCAATGTCAAATTAAATTATCTGCATGACTCCCAAGGTATTCATTTGAGGTTTTTTATGAATCACCACGGACCACATTTTCAGCTAAGAATCTTCTTCACTAACACCTTCATCTTGGATGGCCCATATATTAACAGCAAATATTTGTTTTTTTTAGTGAACTGTCCCTTTAAGAATAAGAAGGCTATTTACATAAATACAATGCTGACAGCTGAACCAGTAGGTATCTTTTCAAGTAAAGAGAGCAATCATTCAAAGAACTGTATTATGCTAATGGTAATTTAAGCTATCCACAAGCTTATTACATATACTGCTGTATTGCTTGCCCGAGGGTCTGTGCAAATAGCATTAATAGGAATCAGCGGGGCTAAATGTGATGCGTCTGGCCACGGTCGAGTGGTTTGATTCTTTGTGTGATTCCTTCATCACTTCCTCTCTTGGGGAGAGAAACCAAATTTGAAGTGAATATACAGTATAATACGTTTGAGTGCCCGTAGGTCTACGATGTTGCTGTCACACTTGAACATGCTTGAGTTAGTAGGGGAAACTGGAGAGATTGTGAAGAGAAAAAAAATACTGACCTGCTCAAATCGAGCTTCATCCTCGCAGTTTTCCAACACCCGAGAGAAGAAGGAGAGACCTGCAGGGAGAAAAAAAGGTTAGAAGGTCAATATGGTTGAGCAGAATCTCACAGCAGCAACTATCACTGGAATTACTTTCTTTCTCATCTGTATATATAGAGAGGAAAGAGACAGTTTTGGGGGTTTAATTCAATTAAATTAAATTAAATTCAATTCAATTCAATTCAAAAGTGTATATATATTTTAGTTTGGTGCACATGTACATTGATCATATCTGTTTTGACCACTACCTGACTGTGTGGAACTCCTTTAAAAACATACACATAGTAATTTAAATAAATTAATATCAATAACTTAAGTCTCAAGAGCTTTTAGTCTATGCCTTTCAAGACCTTTTAGAGTATGCTGTTTCATTTGATGCTTGAATAAAACTTCACTAGACATATAGTATAGCATACCTGCCATTAATGCTGTGCAATATGACAATATATTGTATATGCAAGTCATCTTTTCATATTATGCTCTATCATTAATATATACTGTAGTGGTGTCATAAAATTCATTGTTTATAGTAGTATATTTTCAAAACGTATATGAGTGCAATATTACATGACATTACAGGGTTACAGACAGAAACATAAGTAATAACATAATAATATGAATTGATAATAAAGGATGAATAATAATAGCATTGTAAGAAAGTTGCAATCTTGAAAGTACAACATTTTATTAAGTGATTATATTTTTATGTTGGACTGATTATCATTAGTTTTTGGAAGGTGTTTTCAATTTTTATTGTTATTTATTTAATATTTGTACATTTTAAAATGAAATTTTTGCCCTGAAGTTCTAAATGCATTAAAAAATATGATCACATACAATATGTACAAGTACATTGAACTGAGTTTACAAAAATGGTATCAGGATATGAGATGACATACTGTATTATGAAATGAGATTTTTGCCATTTCGTCCATCTAATATATGCTAGAATCTGTTTATTTAATAACAAAGTCTTAAATTACAAATAATGTGCATCTTCAGTGCATTTTCACAGGAAATTCAAAAAATAAAGGATGTTTTGTTGATCTTTATTGTGGAGGCTCAGTTCAAATGTTCATACTAGCTTTATATTACTTTTAGTATTATATAAACACACAAAGAATATCATTTTGTATCTTATGTAACTGTTATGAGACCTTCTATATATATATATATATATATATATATATATATATATATATATATATATATATATATATATATATATTAGGGATGTAACGGTATCAGAATTTCACGGTACGGTAATACCTCGGTATGAATGTCACGGTACGGTATTTATTGAATCATTTACAGGAAAAAACAAAACTTATGAAAATACTCCAAAAAACTGCCAAAAGTGTCAATGACATACAAATTAGCCATCTATCTGTAAGCTTTGAAACAGGAACTTCAATTTTAATAACAAAAAAATATTAAACCATGTAAAAAAAATAAAGTTTCAATTTAGTATTGTTGAAAACTCATCACATTCAACATTTAATCACTCACTCACTTAGATAGAGATGGGTTTAAAGGAAAATTATCATATAAATATAATCTGGTAAAAGCTGGTATCTCTGGGCATTTACAATGTCCATTGCAACAGAAAAAAAACCCCTCTCATTTGGGACTGAGGTTTCTGGGACAAGAGAGATATGACTTGGCCCAGGTTGACAGCAGTGGGTAACGTTGTGCATTGTCTTTCCCCCACTTGAGAGGACAAACCATGAGTAAGATAGAGGTCTCATGTCTGCATCAATCTGAACAGTGTGCTGACAACACCGCTAGTCAGTACGCGCGCGACAACACAGCTGATAAGAACTCGCGCGACAACACAGCTGATAAGAACTCGCGCGACAACACAGCTGATAAGAACTCGCGCGACAACACCGATATTCAGTACGCGCGCGGCGACAACACCCGCTTTAGAGTTTTCCAGCTCTTTTTCATCCCCGCTTCTAGCAGCACACTCCATTTCCGCATTACTGGATCTGTAGCGACAACAGACCGCAAGGGATGATGGTCAAGCATGGGCTGATGGGAATTGTAGTTTTCGCTACCTCCCATTCGCTTCATTCGCCTGAGCAAATTTTCTCAGAAGCACTATAGTTTTACCGAGTCATGCGACTTCGGTAATATCGAAAAAAATTTATATTGCGGTATGACGGTATTTACAATACCGTTACATCCCTAATATATATATATATATATATATATATATATATATATATATATATATATATATATATATATATATATATATATATATATATATATATAAATATATATACGCTACTATTACCATAAAACTGCAATATACATTAAAAATAGGTGAAGATGTGAACTGTATATTGTAAATACTGCAGTTATTCAGAAATATCAGGGAAAACATGAAAATGCCTATTTTTTTGTCCTTTGTATCTTAAGGAAACCTGCATAATATTGAAAAGTGCAAGTTGACTTTCGTCAATGTGTGCTTGTAAACAAGCTAACAAGAGGGGTCAATATAAATATGTTTACATACCAACTCGCACACATATGCATGCAAACATAAACTCATTTCTTATGAAAAGTAAATATCTAGATGATCATTAGCTGTAGCCTTTTTGATTAAAATAAGTGCTTTTTCTTACTATATTCAGTATAAGTGCTTTCCATTTTTTATAATATATGCAAATGCATCACATACAGCTGAGAAAATACTTCTTTTTTATGTAATTTAATGGAATCCATTGTCTAGTGTTGACTTCATTCTGTGTTGAACAATTCAGCTAAATGTCATTCATTAATTCATTTATTTTCTTGTCAGCTTAGTCCCTTTATTAATCCTGGGTCGCCACAGCAGAATGAACCACCAACTTATCCAGCAAGTTTTTATGCAGCGGATGCCCTTCCAGCCGCAACCCATCTCTGGGAAACATCCACAAACACACACTCATACACTACGAACAATTTAGCCTTCCCAATTCACCTGTACCACATGTCTTTGGACTATTGGGGAAACAGGAACGCCCGGAGGAAACCCAAGCGATGGCAGGGAGAACATGCAAACTTCACACAGAAACGCCAACTGAGTCGAGGTTCGAACCAGCGAACTTCTTGCTGTGAGGCGACAGCACTACCTACTGTGCCACTGCCTGGCCCCGCTAAATGTCATGTCAAACAGTTTTAGAAGAGTAAAAATAGCCAAGTTGCATTATGCATCAAGATCGCAAAATACAGTCAGCACTGTTTTTAGCTCATTGCAAACTCATTGCTCAGTGCTGTTGCTCACAAAAGCTTCTCCCAAAGGTAACATTTACATGCAGTGTGATAGATAACAAAACAGCTGGAGAGGATTTTTTTTTTCTCACTTCAAAGTCAAAACATAAAGCCAAGTACTGATTAAACACATTTTGCAAACTATAGTTTTGGACACTTAAGAACAAACTAAGAGCAAACGCTAAGTATCACCAGGCTTACAGCATAAAACATTTTTCACTGGTAACCATAAAATGAGAGATGAAAGCTGGTTATGTAATATGCATAAACTTGGGAAGGTTTGATAAAAATTGATGAGCAACCTTTCGAGCAGCAAGAAAATCTCAAACAGCATTTTCAATAATTTGTAGCCTTTACAAGGACGTTAATTATTTGCATTATTTATTAGGCGGTATTTAAAATTTTTATTCCATAATTTTTTCTGATAAAACATTTAGTGGAAAATAACAGTGATTTTTTATTATTATTATTGTACTAAGATCTAGTTAGAGATACTCAATCTAAGTTATGCAACCCACAGAGAAACAGGACACAGCTCAGTGGAGCCCTTCCGCTCCAGACAGCCGAGATCGCCAAACACTGAGGTGCTGGAGATTAAGCCCAAAGTAGGAGGGAAGGAAAGGGTGGAAAGAGAGCTAATAGTCATTGCCCTCATAGAAAAGGAGGAAAAACATGACAAAGCAAATTACTTAAATCCCTTGAAGTGTCTCAATCAAATTACTGGACTGGGGAGTTTATGAAAGCATACACAGAATATCATGCTAAATTTGCATCTTTCAGAGTATTACATAATACCATTCTCTAAATACTGTTTGAAAAAAATGCAATACTAGAAGATATTTAGTCTTTTAACACATGCTTCATATTTTTTTATTAGAAGTAATGTTGTTTGTCCTAGAACATTTCTGCACCATTTACCTCTGTAATATTCTTTTAGAGAGAGAGCATTTTATGAGAAAGAAAATGACTGTGAGATGAACACTGCGCAACTGTCCAAGGTGCTGAAAAACAAATATAACTAAAACAAAGTAATGTAAAGCCTAACGTGCATTACATTTAGCTAACATGTTGTTCAGAAAGGTGCATAAGACAAGACTTAACAATAAGACTTCAAACAAATCTGCTTTACTCTTCAATGCTTAAAACTTAATGCATTTTATACTGCAAGGGGATCCCAGTACAGCCTATTGGGATGAATATACATAGGCCTACATGCTGTACAGCTTAAATCAACGATTAATTGAATATTAGCTACAACAGTGAACATTAAATGCACTGGAAAAGAAAATCTAATGAAACCAAACGAGAAAGCAGCTCAAGTTATGTCTGTGAATATTGTTGTCATTTATTAACATGGGTATTTTTGATCTATTTTTCATCTAAAGCGATTTTTCCTGAATAAATACGTAGCAGAATAGTTACATGAACAGATTTCTACAACTTTTCATCAGAATCTCAAGTTACCACCACCGCGTATGCGTAAAATATGCTAAAACAAAATGAAACCTATTCGTGAATATGCCGAGATGCGTACAATAGAGTCGAGCACACACCCGTTCACTGTAAATGAAAAAAAGTATCGCTCTTTACCTCTGAAAGTGACTTTAGCGATTCGGTCCCCCTTCCCACGGAGCTCCGTGACAGTCTTCAGATGCACCACTAAAGCCATCTCAACTCACAATGAAAAAGAGTCAAAACACTAAAAAAATATATGATTCATCACAAAGAGCGCAGACCTCTCATGACCACCGCTGCTTAACTTGTTATAAAATCCGAACTGCTTTTATTTGCTGCATATATAAACGGGAAGAGTCATCTTCACTGTACAAGCTGCATCCTCTGTGCGCAATATCATAAAAAGGAGTAATTAAAAATTAAAGAGCTTTCATTTTCTCCCGCACATGTAGTACAGTCGTCAGATCCGATCCGAGAGTGTTTGACACTACTGTGATGCGCCGCCGCTCCGCACGAGCGCGATGTCATGATGGAATCCGCCGGCAGGGAGCGCGCGCACACAGTTAAACTATATTACTTAGGGGCGGATACTTGCTGAAGCCCACTCTTGGCAGATTGATTATTATTCGAGCTGACAAGTGTATATAGCATACATTCTCTATCAATTATTAAAACTGTCTGTCTAGCTATTAATTAAATGTATGTCATGCTAGTATATCCTGAAAGATTTGTTGCCTGGCAACCGTTTGTTGTCGTATGTGTGGTGTTGGTCAGGTTTATTTTAGACGCAGTGCTGAAGTTCAGCAGCTCATGATCGGGATATTCGTGTATGCTTATCTATTCAGCCATGACTTTCAGGGGAAATGGGACTCTCATAACGCATAACAACGCAGCCTACATTCCAACGTCTCTGATGCCGGGGTAAAAATAGTTTATTTCTTGTTTTGTTCAGGACAATGTCTGAAATTATTTTTGTAAAATAAATGTGTGTTTGACCCTTTGAACTGATTTTCAGAGGTATGTTTTCACAATTAATGTTAGGGAACTTAGTGATGCATTTTTTAGTTTCAAACAATATAGAATAGATTGCTTTCAGCAATAAAAATAAATCATGTAGCTTAAGCCAATGTTTGTATCCTTACCATTTTGGTGTTTCTATCAAATTAAATAAAACAATATCTAATAAATTATTTATTTAAAAAATAAGTTTTATTATTTACTTTTTAAATTGAAACATTTTCTTGACCTAGTAGCAGGGGTGTCAAATTCAGTTCCTGGAGGACCGCTGCCCTGCACAGTTTAGTTCCAACCGTGCTTCAACACACTTATCTATAGATTTCAAACAAGCTCAAAGGCCTCAATTTGTTTGATCAGGTGGGTTTAATTAGGGTTGGAACTAAACTGTGCAGAGCTGTGACCCCCTGGATCTGAGTTTGACACCTGTGACAGTGTTTTGGAGGGTAGTTGCAAAGTATAAATATTTAAAATCAAAATGAATATTTAATTATTCTTGTTCTAAATATAACAGGTTTTTTTGTATATCTTGCACAACATTGCATTTTAGTTGCTGTCTTTAAATAAAAAGTAATATGACAATTTTTAAGGTCACAAAACAATAAATCAAACAAGATACATTTTGTATCCCAATAAGTCTGTATACCCTTTTATTTGCTGGATGCTTGAGAATCCATTTGCATTATAACCCATACAACACGTACATACATACATACACACACACACACACACACAAACACACACACACACACACGGTGGACCATTTATATGGATACACCTTAATAAAATGGGAACGGTTGGTAAAATTAACGTCCTGTTTGTGGCACATTAGTATATGTGAGGGGGCATCTTTTCAAGATGGGTGGTGACCACGTCGCCCACCTTGGATCTAAGTTTTGTTTTTTTCAATAGGAAGAGGGTCATGTGACACGTCAAACTCATTGGAAATTTCACAAGAAAAACAATGGTGCATTTGGTTTTAACGTAACTTTATTCTTTCATGAGTTATTTACAAGTTTCTGACCACTTATAAAATGTGTTCAATGTGCTGCGATTGTGTTGGTTTGTCAATGCAACCCTCTTCTCCCACTCTTTACACACTGATAGCAACACCGCAGGAGAAATGCCAGCAAATGCTTCCAGTATCTGTAGTTTCAGGTGCTCTGCACATCTTGTATCTTCACACCATAGACAATTGCCTTCAGATGACCCCAAAGATAAAATTCTAAGGGGCTCAGATCGGGAGACCTTGGGGGCTATTCAAGTTGCCCATGATGACCAATCCACTTTTCAGGAAACTGTACATCTATAAATGCTCAGACCTGACACTCATAATCTGGTGGTGCAACATCTTGCTGAAAAAACTCAGGGAACGTGTCAGCTTCAGTGCATAAAGAGGGAAACACATCATCATGAAGCAATTTCAAATATCCAGTGACCTTGAGGTTTTCATTGATGAAGAATGGCCCCACTAACTTTATTATCTATTTTGTCCCTCACATATACTAACGTGCCACAAACAGGACGTTAATATCACCAACCATTCCCATTTTATTAAGGTGCATTCATATAAATGGCACACCCTGTGTGTGCGTGTTTATATATATATATATATAGTATAAGCAATTCTAAATTTCGCCAAAATATCAAAACCATTTCTGTGTTTTTTGTGTAAGAGAGTATTTTTACAGTACTTCAAAAATACTCAAAATGTCTCTGTTAATGTCTTAAAACTATTATAGTTAATTTATCAAAATCACACAAGAACCAATTTCACATCTGTCACATCCATTATGTAAAAGTGTCACATCCATAACAGAGCTTTTTCCTCATAAATGCAAAAATGTCAAATAAAATAAAATCAGTCATGTTTGTTCTATAGTGAGCCAACAATTATCGTTTTGATTAGCATTGATTCTTTTGGGTTGTGCGGTTTAATTCACAGAATTTCTACAAAGTATGTTGTATACTGTAAACTCACAGACTTTTTTCGTCACATCCATAACACATGTTTATTTCCCTCATTTTAAATGAAAAAAATGTTTACAGATGAATATTTTTTTTCTAACTATGTGGTCAGTTGTTTTGGAAAATATAAACAGATGTTTCAATATAACGTTAATATTTATGTACATCCATAACGCTGGAATTGCTTAATTAATTTGTTTGTCGTTTTAAATTTTAACTGTGGTTAATTTCCCTGCAGGCTAATCATTAAACAACATTTTCAGCTACATCAGTTGTTGATTGTGCGATTGTTGAACCATTTATAGGTACTGTGGACACATTCCTACCACAAAATTGATGTATGGGGAAACCTTTGGCAATTCAAGCCTAAAGTATTTCCAAAACACCCGCTCTGCCATGATGGCCTCAAGCAAAAGCCCTTACAACAAGGCTGGTGTGTTTCTGAGCTCCCAAACGCAAGACAGTGTCCTCATCCTACCCTACTGGGTGCGCTATAACACTGACTTCAGAAAACAGAAGGAGATCAAGGACTTCAGCATGGTAAGAATGAGATAGAAGAAGTGAGTGTAGATCATGTTCTAAACGAACATCTTTTATCACACTGATTAGTCATGGACATGTTGGATTTCTCTTTTCCCCAGCTGTCCCAGAAGCACAGGGAAAATTACAAAGATAAGACGGGCACTGTGCAGCCTGTCAATTATTTTGCAGTGACTGAGAAGAAGCCTGCAGGGACAACGTAAGAAGTGAACTTTACTGGGCCATCGCAGCTACTGTAGTTTAAGTGACATGAATCTTTAGTATGTGTGCAATTAATCATGTTGTAAAAGAGCATGCTGTGTATTTATGATGTATTTACAATAGAGACAGCTCATCTAACAAAAAAGTGGAGCAATAAATGTATAGGGAAAAATAATCAAGATGCCCATAAATGATTTTTTCTGTGTTTATGATTTATTTTTATTATAATACAATTTTAAATGTTTATTTTTTTTAATTCAGAAGAATTAAGAAATCAGTTTTGGTGAAATAACCCTGATTCGCTATTCTGAACAGCTGTCATTTTCTGTAAATAAATAAATGAATAAATAAATCGATCTATCTATTTAAAGGTTAAAACCAATATTAATATTTTACTTAAACCCATAATTATGATCATCATTACATAATTTTATTTTGTAACTTGTATTCTTGTATTCTATAGGGCTGATGAAAATGGGTTAATATTTTTTATCAGGATACTTTAGTGTCTTGTATTTTGTATTTTTAAAATGCTGTAAAATACTTTGTAAGAAGTCAACATGATGACTTCATAAAAACGTGGCCTCAGATTGATGCTTTCTCAGTCATTTGCTAAGGCTTGAAATCAGAACAGGAAATTGATTAAACAGGTGGTCAATGCTAATATGTAATGGCAGTATAGTGTACAATTCAGCATCAGCATCTTTGCTTCAGACGTGAGATGGAATAAAATATAGCAAAATGAGGAGCTTCAGAACATCCTCAATCTCAGCTTCAGGACTGCAGGTGCAAATGCAGTGGAACTTTAGAAATATAAAACATCTAAAGATGCTGTACTGGTGTTCACCAAGGGGGCAAACTGAGACTTTTCCTAGTAAAGAGGAACTGAAATCGTTTTGGCAGAATGAGTAAACTGCACAAATAATAGTAGTTTTTTATGGATTGCTGATGTAGATGCCAAGAGAAAAAAAGACAAACAACAAACAAATAAGTACTACTGTGGCAATTCCTACAATACTTCATCTGCCGTTTCAGATGCCATTAGCTAATCTGCAACTGCTCTTTAAAGAGGGAAGATGTTGAAGTGGCACAATACAGTATATGAGACACAAATATTTAGTAATACTCCAGTCTATACAGTCTGGTCAAAAACTCCAGACTCTCGTTACACGGCAGCAGCAGGATGTATATAAAGAGTTTGTTTGCAAAAACATATGACTACATTTTTTAGAGAAATCATGTTTTATGTTTTGCATTAAAGAGAACAATTGCAAAAATATATATAATTTATGGAAATAACTGAAACTGGAGTTTTCAGAAATCCTGTTTTTACATTAAGTTTGAAAGATTTAAGTTGCAAAAAATTTTGATTTATTAAAAAAAAATTATGTGATTGAAAAAATGAAATGAGTGCACTAAGGTGGCTCAATGGTTAGCACTGTCACCTCACAGCAAGATGTTCGCTGGTACAAGTCCCAGCTGAGCCAGTTGACTTTTCTGTGTGGGGTTTGCATGTTCTCACCGTGTTGGTGTGGGTTTCCTTCGGGTGCTCCGGTTTCCCCCACAGTCCAAAGACATGCACTATTAGTGAATTGACTAAACTAAATTGGCCATTGTATATGAGTCTGGGTGTTTCCCAGTACTGGGTTGCAGCTGGAAGGGCATCCGCTCTGTATGAACATATGCTGGAATAGTTTACTTGCTGTGGCGAGCTCTCATACACTCTCAGAAATAATAAGCGAGCTGTTATTGGGGTGGTACCTTTTCAAAAGGTACACATTTGAACTTTAGGGGTCCATATTGGTACCTCAAAAGTATATATTAGTTCCTATAAATTTTAAGAGGAACACTTTTGTACTTTTTAGGTACTAATATGTACCCTTCAGGTACTAATATGGACCTGTACAAATTTGTACCTTTTGAAAAGGTATCACGCCAGTGACAACTTGCATACCTTGATTTCTGAGAGTGTAGATAAGGAACTAAGCTAAAAATAAATAAATAAAAACTCTTCATAGATTGCCCTTTTAAAATATATGTGTTAAGAGATGGTGGCAATTTTACTAGCCACACAATGGATGAAAACACAATGAAGAGACATAGTGCTATGTACCAACTCGTTATCTGCATTAGATGGTTTTTACAGTGATTTTTTTTCACATTCACCCAGAGATCCTCTACAACAGTGGTTCTCAAAGTGACAAAGGGGTCGCGGGGCAATGAAGGGGGGTCGCCTGGTGATTTCCAAAAATCTATTTATTTTTATTAAACCATAAGAATTAACTTATTTTATCCATAACTATACTGAAAATAAAAATAGTAGTTTATAGTTACTATATACTATATAGTTACTATAGTAGCTTATAGTTACTAGTTCTATTGGATTGCGACCCCTGGGGTAATTACATTATATTAAAGGCAGCAATAGCGTCAGATGCATTTTGATTTTATAACATCAGGTTATACTTTTTGGCACATTTAAAGCACTGACACAAATTTAATTGGTGTGTCTGCGTCATTGCATGCAAGGTTTCTGTATTTATAACGGTGAAGGAGGTGCAGAGAAGCTAACTTAAACTTGTTCAGAGAAACACTGTTGCTGTCAATATTTGTTTACTTCACTAAGTTAGTTTAATGGCAAGAAGATTGATTAAATATGCCTGTCGATAGAAGGCTTGTGAAGAAATCTCATGCTTCCTTGCACAAGTATTTTGCAGCATTTTTAAAACACATTATTTCATTTTGATACATTTGTGGCTGCTGTATTTCGTATTTTATTTTGATACATATAAAACTGAGGTATTCGGTATTTTATTTTAAAATACATTTCAATGATTTTTTGCCCATGCCTGGTTATACATACAGATAATGTAAAATCTGTGGTACACGTTACTGTATTGATGCTTAAAAATATATGTAATCAAAATTACTTGAGCTTTATAATATAAAATATATTAATTATTTATAAGCATCATGCATTTAAGAAACAAATAGAACCACTTTGATTTTATGCTGACTTTAGGCTTATTTTTAAATGACTTAATTAGTCTTATTTCTAAAAATGGTTCTTGGGCTCCCCATTCCTTCTCTCTACATCCTAATCCCCCGTCTCACACACATCTAATTGCTTCTCTCGCAGTCCCCTGAGACAGCAGAGACAATGGCTGTCCAGTGATTATTTGTGATGGAGTCTTATTTGCTGATGCATTACTCGGGGGTTAACTGTGCTTGGAGCTCTGCTGTCTCTAGGGGCTTTATCTCCACTTATGTTCACATTCAGCCCATAGGCGCTTTCTGGAGTCATAAAATATGCATGTTCAAGTGAAGCTAGAGCTGTCAATGTATTTTGACATATATTTTCTCTTCTTTTTCACTGTGTCAAATAATAAGGGATTACTTGAGATTAACAGTAGCAGAGTAATGAAGTCACAACACAAGCACGTCCACCAATTACATGTAATTAAACAAATTATTAAAAAGAGGAAAGCTGGAATGCTCTTATTTTGCCTTTTAGATTAAATATGTTTGTTTTATTTCACCATGATTTAATGCAAGGGTAAAATGTAAAATTCACTGTTGGTATGACCTACAGTATGAATGCTGATTTAACAGGGTCATTCAGATGCAGCATTAAAGACTGTATTTAGACTCAAATGCACTTACAGCACAGTGCAAATATAGCACTATTAAAAACTTGATGACTACAGTGAATCACTGGTAGACCAATTAGAGAAGAGTTAAGTGGGGTTATAATCACTATTCTCACATAACCAAGGTCAGAGATTATCTGTGTACAAATATACAGTTTTACAGTACTGTTAAGGTAAGAATGTTCAGTGCTCAGTATAAATGAGCACTCTTATTTTAATGAATAAAACTGTTTGCAATGCACCAAAATATCTCTATGTGTGTGTGTGTGTGTGTGTGTGTGTACTCAATTCAAAAAACTGAATAAAAATATTACTTTTCAAAAGGTGTATTAATTTATGCTGTATATTTTAATGTTTAAAATCTGCTTTGCGTGTCAGTATCAAATGTTAAAGGACAGAGCAGATATAATTGTAATATTTTTCTTAGTTAAATCATATGCCTATAATGTACAACAAACGTTTTGAGTACAAGTTATAGAACATCCTGAGGATATGTTTTTTTCAATGTAAATTCATCAACTACCCCTCATTGAACATTTATTCACGATGTTGAGGTTTTCTTGGAGCAGTGTGTATAAATGTAGAATCACTTACAATTCAAAAAGACACTTTAATATATACTGTAATATATATTATGTCATATAATCGATGGTTCTATATATGAATGCATAATTTATAAATGGTTTCACATGTGAGTTATGCCGAAGCTTACAACCACACTACATCCAATGTTCATAAAGTACATTAGAGAAAAAACTTTTCGCTTCTTTATGAAGAAGTCAGTGGCAGGCAGTGTACGTTGGCATTTGGTATCTGAATTGTGCTCCCCTGAACACAAAATACAATTTTAAAAACTTTTTAAAAAGTAAGCTTTGGTGGTACAACAGCTTGTACCATAAAAAGGAAATCCTATAAGAGTGGCATTAGTATATTACCATTATTGCCAATCTGAACCTTTTGGTCGTAAATAAGGTACAAATGGGTACTGCCCAGTGAAACGCTGTTGTAAAGATAATACTGTTTTTTTCTGCGATTGTAAAGAGCTATGTGCAGTACAATAGAATGTCAATTAATTTTATCCTGTTTTCTGTTTCTAATAATGCTAATAATAAAAAAACATATTAAGTAAAAAGGTATGATAAAAAGAAATTTGGGCATAATAACTTAAAAAAATAACCAAACAAACCGGTAGAACATGTGACATCCCCCATGCCAGTCTTTTTCTCTGTGCGTGTGGGTGTGTGTGTATCTGTGTAATGAACAGTAGATTTGAATAACTTAGATTTAAATTCATAAACAAATGTTTTCTTAAAGTTTATCTTAAGCCAGAAGTAGGATAGATGGTAAAAATAACACTTTGACATTAAGTTACACAATTCAAGGACAAGTAAATATTTCTAAAAAAATTCTCTTGAGTTAAACAATTATGTATACAGGCTAATTTCTGAGACACAAAAGCCAAAATCCACTGAGTTAGATGTTGAAAAACACAATCTATGTAAACAAATATCCGGGCTCTAACATTACCTTTGATGACCAGATCACTGGAGTTTTTCTTTGTGATGGAACTATTTCCAGTACCACATCACTTATTGGTGAATGAGGAAAAAACAGCGTGACTGAAACGGTAAATAGTATTTGAGCAGCTGCGATTCAAAACACACTTGAGCCAATATGCGCGCATGCGCAAAGGTTAATGCTTCCATTGCGCACACCTATGTCAAGCATACATATTTTATAATAAACCAATAGCATATAAAATCGATAATAATTAAAGGAGCTCTAAAATGCTATATGTAGCAAAAGCAAGCTCGTTATAAGTAGGCTATCAACAAGAACATAATTAGCAGTTTTTGTAAACACGCTTTAAACAAAAAAAAAAAGAAAGAATGACGAGCAGCTACATCATGAACTCTGTATTACTAGAGAACTTCCGTCGCATTTTTCTGTAAATATATAGGTAGTTTAAAAGTCCCATTCCTCCCCGGAAGAGGGAGACATCGTCTGGGAATGAGCGCACAGGCTGACGGTGAGCGCGAGCAGCGAAGCATCCGCGCATCTCAAAGCCCAACTGCCTTCAGAGTAGCGGATCACCCTAAAACTCGAGCACTGTCTGCAATGACTCCTGCGCGGGCTCGAGCTCTTCTCGGGCTCCTGGTCACACTCTGCACCCAGAGCCCACTGCTGTCGGGTAGGTCAAACTGTTTCTGTCTATTTTTATTTAAAACATTAATCCGTTTTTTTTTTTTTTTTTTAATTTATTGGATTTACAATTTTATAAGTTAAGTGGTTGCAAAAAATTTATATGCGCGAAATTTAAACAAAAAAATAAATATGGTAATGTAACTTGATTTGCTTAAATTCAGCCCATATAAATTGTTTGAATCCACTTACCTTAAAAATCAAGTCAATCCAATGAATCATTTTTTAAGTGAAGAACAAAATAGAAATATTAAGAACTATTTATAATTCGTTAAGTATGTTTTTGTCAGGCATAATTGCCAGGGATTTGTTGTAATATTGTAATATATATATATATATATATATATATATATATATATATATATATATATATATATATATATATATATATATATATATATATATATAATAGGCTATAGTTCCACTTAAATAATCAGTTGCTGTTTGACTTTGGAGGTCTGAGACCTGTTTATGTCAGTGTGGATGAAAAGCATGTGCCAAACTTTTAATAAACATTTCAAGCACTAGTAGCTTAATGCATGACGCATGGGTGTTTGAACAGCTGAGCTGTGTGCAGGTGCCCAAACCTCAGAAAGTATACTTCTGTTATAGACTATATAACTATTCTTTAAATAGTTTGTAGTTATTTGACAAGGTCAAAATAAATGCAAAACATATAAATGCATAAGCAAAATTTGTATAAAATATAAATATTAACTAAATATTCTTTGTTCACATCTGAAATGGATTTTTTTTGTTTTTGTTTACATGATTGTGTTGTATGCATCCTTGTATAAAGTATGTTTCTGACTCTACAGCTTTGATGGTGATGTCACTTGTGGTTTATTTCTATTAAACTGGTGATTTTCTCACACTATTTTAAACTGCAGTGGTATTCATTTCCATAATAACATAATCAATATTGGCAAATTTAAGATTTCTTCATTTAAAAAGTAAAATACAGACAGAAAATAGACAGGTGAGTGGGCTTGACACACCAGACACACACTTTCTTCTCCATATGCACCAGACATATTCTTATAAACACTCCATGCTTCTGGGAAAACAGAAAGAAAATACTGCTAAACTAACATACACTTGTCATGGCATTTATAAATTGCTCCTCTCTGGTGATTAGAAGTGCTTCTTTTATCCTCATTTGTAAGTTGCTTTGGGTAAAAGCATCTGCTAAATTAACGAATGCAAATTTAACAGACAGACAGACAGACAGACAGACAGACAGACAGACAGACAGACAGACAGACAGACAGAAAGACAGACAGATTGACAGACAGACCGATAGATAGATAGATAGATAGATAGATAGATAGATAGATAGATAGATAGATAGATAGATAGATAGATAGATAGATAGATAGATATTGAGTGTAGAAGCGCATCTCTCAGCAAGTGTTTTATCAAATTAGCGGCAGGACAGGAAGTACAGTTAACCTCTTTGAAAGGTCATCAGGGAGCATAAAAGCACAGATGTTTTAGACATTCTTTCGCTTTCAGCTCTTCAAATCTTTTTTAGCCACGTTTTCTCTCTCCTTGACTTCCTTTTGCTCTCTCCGTCCTTCCTAATTCTGAGGAGAAAGCAGTGGAGCCGAGGAATCTTGGATGAGGGAAGTGGTAGCTAAGTCCTACTGAGCTGTGTGAGCTGCCACGTTACAACGGCCCTTTTTCTTTCTCACTCGCTCTTTCTCAGTGTTTTGGAAATGTTCTTTATATGAGGTCACTCAGTGCAGCCTGGGACTGCCATCAGCAGCTGCATATTATCCAGTCTTCCTCTCTTCTCCATCTTTACCAACGAAACTACATCCAACACAACTAAATCTAAAAGCCACCAGCTGCTTAGATATGGCACAGACAGTAAAGCGTTGCTGATTTCCAGCCAAATAATTAAAGAGAAAAAAAAGAACCCTTCTAGATCTCTTAATGGTGCTTAACTGCCCCTTCAAAACCATTCCTGACATTTGCTTGACAGATAAAAGATATATTGGAAAGAATGAGAATTCCACAAGCCTGCACTTTAACATCACGTCTGTTGTTATTCCGGTAAGAATGAGCTTATGTTGTCAGGTAAGAGAAAGAGAAAAATCATGCCCTGACCAGCTACTGGAATTTAATCGAGCTCAAAATTTCACCAAGGTATTTGTGGAAAGTCTCTGAGTGACGTGGGCAAGGCTTTAGGGTTCTGAAACTCAATCTGTCAAGAAGTAAGTCAGTGCATAGCGGTATGAAACAATCCTGTGTATAGTTGGCATGATGCCTGACCTGTCATTCATCAGGTGCCCTCTTATTGAACACCTGGGTGTTTTTTTTTTTTTTTTTTTTGTATCAGAAAAGTAAGAAAAATAAGTATATTGTAGAATGTAAAAGTTTCTTGCATTTGTTTGATTGTAATCCAGGCACCTGAATGAAAATTATAAGCGGAGTGCATGTTAGTGAGTTTTCATTGAGAGAATGACGCCATAACAGCAGGTGCTTGCCCTACAGGCCTTTCCATGAGTGATTATGAAAACAATCCAACAGAACTGACAATCAACCACAGGGCATTCATAAAGGGATGAACAATAGAAATGGCCTGGAGCAAGTGAGAACAAAGTTTCAGGACAGCAGTTCAATCGTTCCGAAACATCTTACATTTGTTGACCATGTACGTGTAATTTCAAGCCATGTTGATCTAAATATTTGGTTTTCTGGTTTTCGTTGAGCAATGTTTTGAGAATTTTGCTGATGGAAAAATGTCATCAAACTCTCACAGCCTATTCGGTTTTGGAAATGAAAAGGCAGAATTGCTTTGGAGAGGTCTGGGAAGCTTCAGATATACTGGATTAAAAATCACAAACAGTTTAGTTTAATGCTGTCATGAAGTTTTATTTAATGATTAGTATTAAACTTTTGCCTCACAGCAAGAAGTTGCTGCTTCGAGCCTTGGCTGGATCAGTTGGCATTTCTGTGTGGAGTTTGTATGTTCTCCCTGTGTTTGCGTGAGTTTTCTCTGGGTGCTCTGATTTCCCGCACAGTCCATGCTGTACAGGTGAATTCAGTAAGCTAAATACTCTGTAGTGTAATTATGTGAGTGGAAGTGTATGGGTGTTTCCCAGTGATGGGTTACAGCTTGAAGGGCATCTGTTTTGTAAAAACATATGCTGGATAAGTTGGTGGTTCATTCCGCTGTGGTGACCCCAGATTAATAAAGGGACTAAGCTGAAAGAAAATGAATGAATGAATGAGATTGTTGTATGTATGGGGTGGGGGTTTGGGGGGGGGGGGGATAATTCTGTTGGGCTGGTCCAAATGTTAGCAGGGCAAAGCCTTATAAAAATCAACAATTGATTTTTTCTAGTACTCTACTATAGTACTCTACTAAGTTGTAGGTGCCTATTGATTATCATTTGTATAACCAAAGTTTTACTAGAAACACCCTGGTCAAACAATGATTATTATAATGTAGTGAAAAACAGTAAAAGTAAATAAAAATGTTTAAAAAAACACATTAAAAATAAATGAAAACATGTGTGATTTAAACAAATAATGCAATATGTTTTAAACAAAGAAACAAATAAATACAGATTAAAATGAATAATACAAATGTGTTAATCAAATATTCATAAATAAATGTGTTAATCATTGAATAAATACAGTACTGTAATATACACTCACCGGCAACTTTATTTGGTATACCTTACTTGCACCGGGTTGGATCCTCTTTTGCCTTCAGAACTGCCTTTATTCTTCGTGTCATACAACAAAATACTGAAAATATTCCTCAGAGACATGATAGCATCACACAGTTGCTGCAGAGTTGTCGGCTGCACATACATGATGCGAATTTCTTGTTCCACCACATACCAAAGGTGCTCTATTGGATTATGATCTGATGACTGTGGAGGCCATTTGAGTACAGTGAACTCATTGTTATGTTCAAGAAACCAGTCTGAGATAGTTCGCGCTTTATGACATTGAGCATTATCCTGCTGGAAGTAGCCATCAGAAGATGGGTACACTGTGTTCATAAAGAGATGGACATGGTCAGCAACAATACTCAGGTAGGCTGTGGTGTTGACATGATGCTCAATTGTTACTAATGGGCCTAATGTGTGCCAAGAAAATATCCTCCACACCATTACACCACTACCACCAATCTGAATTGTTGATACAAGGTAGGATGTTTCCATGCTTTTTGATGATGCCAAATTCTCACCCTACCATCCGAATATCAAAGAAGAAACATTTTTCAATGTTTTTCCAATATTCTATTGTCCTGCTGCCGGTCAAAGTCACTCAAATCACCTTTCTTCACCATTCTGATGCTCAGTTTGAAATGCAACAGATCAGTGCATTTTCCATTTTAGGATGGAGGTCCATCAAACAAGAATTATCATATTTAATTATCATATTTTGCCCTAGGGCTTCTATAAAAAAAGAGAGTTTGATCTAAAAAAAACTGTATTCAATGCAATTATTATAAAATTATAGTATTATATATCATCTATTAACAACTCTTCTGAAAAAAAGTTCTTGAAACTTCTGGAATCATAAATCCAATTTTATAACTATTTATTTTGTACCAATGTCATTCAATATGTGGGGTCCTGGAGATAAAAAAAAAGTAAGAACCACGGATCCAAGTGATGTCCACTCCCTAACATAAGCCTCAGTCAGTTTCCTCCAGTATAAAATGTTTATTTTTGGAGAAAGATCTAATTCTTATGTTTTACAAGTCTTGATTTAATCAAAATGTGAACCCACCCTACACCATAAATTTTAATATGAGCCAAGTCACAGACTGGGGTTTGATGTTTCTGTGGCCTGTGTGTGTGTGTGTGTGTGTGTGTGTGTGTGTGTGTGTGTGTGTGTGTGTGTGTGTGTGTGTGTGTGTGTGTGTGTGAGAGAGAGTCGGGTAATTGCACTGGCGTGTGTGATGTGGTTCCAGATTATGTGGAAGGACGTTCCACTGCCAATATTACAATATAAAGCAGTGACCGAGAGGCATATGTCCCTGTGTACTCTTAAATAAATGATAGAGATTGATCTCTCTCAGCAGGATTGATGCCATACTCATGCTGATGTACAGTAAACAGGCACAGCGATGAGAGATTTGCTCACTCTAACTCTAAGCAGGGTTAGAAAAACAGCCTGAGTGCACTACTAAACTTCAGATAGAGTTTCCACTTTGATTAACTGCAGGCTGTTGTCCATATTGCTCGACATCAAGCTGGAGATTCATTTAAAAAGGTTTGCTAAATCTGAAGTGCGGCTCTAATGGCCATTTCACAGGCAACCACCAGATTACAGCATGTCACTTCTCATGTATTGTACAAAACAGCCAGCACAGATTCTGCAAAAACAAGCTCCAGCAGACACACCAACAGGGAGAACATTGTGATTGACAAAATCCCAAAATCCATCCATCCAATTTTTCCATCTTGGGGTGGTTTTAGTTGCCTAAAGAAATATTGCAACCTTGGAAAACAAAATTTAAACCCCATTACAAAATATCAAAAACTAAATTATTTTAAACTATATTGTGTAAAGTAACCATATCCGAAAAAATATTTTCAGTAATTGTTCTTAATTGTTAATAAAATAATATAAAGTAATATAATATAATATAATATAATATAATATAATATAATATAATATAATATAATATAATATAATATAATAATGTAATATAATTAAAATATTTCTTATAAGAATAAGTGTATGTGTAATCTGGAAATATAAAAATGAAAAAATACATATCTAAATACAAAGTTGAATAAGAAAATGTATTTAATTGTGTGCTAACTAAAATAGAAATTAAAAAAACTAAAATAATATTACATTGAAGACCATTCAAACCCATTTAAACTAAATTAAACTAAAATTAGATATGTTAAAATAACTTTTAAAACCAAAAGCTTGGTTCACATATGCATCAAACAATAACTTGTGTAGTAAAGGGGTCATCACACTACATTTTTTGTTCCACTGATGTCCATTCATACTCCAAATGCATATTCTGGAGACTGGAAACTGCAAAGCTGGATCAGCCCTAAATGGCACCCTACACTTTAGTATGCTTTTTGTGACTTGATGATGATGAAAGTTTACTGAAAAGCTCTACTTTGTGTAATATCCACAGTAGTTTGCATCAAGGGCTTATAGTTGCTACAAAGTGAGCACTTTTGAACAAACTAATTAGTTAAAGCTTTTGAAATATCATCTTTAGACCATGCATTTTTTTAACTACAAAAATGCATTTGAGCACAATTTCTGGTTCCCCAATGAACTTTTCTGGGATTAGATTTTAGTGCAAAGAGCATCTACAGTTGAAGTCAGAATTATTAGCCCCCCTGAATTATTAGCCCCCCTGTTTATTTTTTTCCCCAATTTTTGTTTAATGGAGAGAAGATTTTTTTTAACACATTTCTAAACATAATAGTTTTAATAACTAATTTCTCATAACTGATTTATTTTATCTTTACCATGATGACAGTACACACTATTTGACTAGATAATTTTCAAGACACCTGTACAGCTTAAAGTGACATTTAAAGGCTTAACTAGGTTAACTAGGCAGGTTAGGGTAATTAGGCAAATTATTGTAAAACAATGGTTAAAGGTTTTACAGTGTAGTTTACTTTAGAATACCTAAAATCTTCCTGGGAGTACGATTTAGGTGTTGAAATCATGGATGAGCAATGGGAGATACCCTTGAACAGACCCACAGATCATATGTGCAAGGCATACAATTTAATGTAATACATCATTTACATTGATCCAAACAAAAACTTTCTGGAAGTGGACCCTGCATGTAATCGTTGTGGGCTAGAATCGGCATCACTGGCTCATATGTTTTGGAACTGCTGGGAAAATATTTTTCTAACATTCTCAAAAGTAGGTCAAAAGCCAATAGATCCAGATCCCCATATCGCAGTTCTACTGATTTAACTAAAAGCAGTACAGAACAAAACAGTTCTATTAGTCTGTCTACTTGCATGAAGGTTAATATTACTCAAATGGAAACAGAAAGCTGCTCCAGCATACAGTATATGTACATCTAATGAGGGATGTAATGAAACATTTGGAACTGGAGAAAATCAGATTCAAATTCAGACAAATTTAATAAAACTTTTCATAGATTATTTTAAAAACATAAATTCTGCAAAAACATAAATTTTAAGATATAAATTTTAAAAAGATAATACTTTATTTTGATGTTCATTTGAGTATTAGTAATTAGGCCAAAATGCTTATTAAAAGGCTTGGCGTTTTAGCTGAAAACTGTGTAGTAATAAATAATTTTAATATGCTGACTTGCTGCTGGAGACATATTACTATTATTATCAGTCTTGTACTTGCTTTTTCAGAATTCTATGATAAACTAAAAGTTTAATATATTACCATAAATTAAAAAAAATTCGTAATATCACTAAAAACCCAATAGATCCAGATTCTCGTATCGCAGTTCTTGGCACTACTGTTTGCGAGTTTAATAAAAACAGTACAGAACAAAACAGTTCCATTTGTCTGTCTACTAACAAGAAGGTTAATTTTACTAAACTGGAAACAGAAAGCTGCTCCAGCATTTATACATTTAAATCTGATGAGGGATGTAATGAAACATTTGGAACTGGAGAAAATCAGATTCTCCAAAGACAAATTTTATAAAATCTGGCAACGTTTCATGAATTATTTTAAAAACTGAAATTCTGCAAGAAATAGTTCAATTAAATGTTTGCCTTTAAGGCAACACTTTATTTTGATGTTCATTTGAGTATTAGTAGACTGTCTGCTTGATACTGATATATCAGTATCAAGATAATTGTAACGAGGAGACTGACATGGAGGGATCCATTATGCAGTATTTATTAGTCAAGCTATCACTCAAACACACAATATGCACTAAAGTGCAAACACACATCAAAAATAGTCTATGAAGAATCAAGACCGGCGGTGAACAGACACAGAGGGCTTTACCAGGCATTGGTCGAGGGCAGGCTGCGAGTATCAGAGTCCGTGTATCAGGCGTGGGTCGTGGGCAGGCAGTGAGTATCAGAGTCCGTGTATCAGGCGTGGGTCGTGGGCAGGCAGCGAATATCAGAGTCCGTGTATCAGGCGTGGGTCGTGGGCAGGCAGAAGGCGAAGCAGAGTCAGAAACAGGCTGGAGTAATGCACGAGGAATCAGGCAGGGAATAACGCTCAGAAATGCTGGCTGGGGCTAAACAAGACTTCGCACTGAATAAGTGTTTGTGTGCGGCTTATATAGGGTACGTGGGTCGTTAACCAGATTCAGGACAGGTGTGTGCACAATCAGCGTAAGTGGATGATGTAATGCTAGAAGTCCGGAGATGGCGGCCTCTGCTGGCCAGCGAGGGGAGTGACTGGGACCGAGTCGGTGACAATAATAATATCTGTTGATACTGCCCCTTTAACTGTACAGACATTTAATTGACTATAAGAAAAAAGTACATGTCAACTTACACGAACCCCAACCCTAGCCCAAACCCCAACCTAACAGTCTACTTATAATCTAATGAGAATTACTTGCAATGTAACTTAAATTAAACAAAGGGACCATCAAAATGAAATGTGACCGCTTTTAAAACTAAAGATGTTAGATTTTTGGTGGATTTGCTGAATTTAGTGACAAACTCATGACAATGACAGACAACTTTACTCACTCTATCAGGTTCTAAGCCACTACCACCACGTAATGTGAAGCTGACCTCAGTGGATAAAGGGCTGAAGGTCACCTGGGATCCGCCGAGCGAGCTGGACGGACAGCCTGTTGACAGCTACAGCATCGGCTATGGAAAGTCCATGAAGTCACTGCGCTACGTCACTGTGGACAAAGACAGACGCTCAGAGTTACTGGAGGACGTAGGTGAGAGCGCACATCATTTTTTTCTGCAAATGAAACGTTAGAGACTCACATTGAGCACTATGTCAGGCTCTCATGTGCATGTTGTGTTGTTTTAGAGCCTGGAGTCCTGCATTTTCTCAAGATGAGTGCAGAGAATAAGGACGGGATGAGTAAACCTGTCTACAGGGCAGAGACTCCAGGAGGTGTGTGTGTAGAGAGAGACTTGCATGCTTCTCTGTCGTCTCTCTTCTCTTCTCTGTGGTACAATGGTGCATGGATATACTTATAAATCACAGTATGCACATCAATCATATACAGCATGCTTTTATGAGGAGAGAAATTAAGGGTTTGTTTACATAACAGCAATGAATGTTTTTCCATTTACATTAGCATTACCCATTTACACAGAACATGACAAATAATTGCTGTATTTTGCATGCCAGACCAGTTAAGACAAATATAAGCAATAAGCATGTACATTTAATGTCCTGTGTGCCATTGTTGTTTTTTTCTGATATACTTGCACATAACAGATATTTTGCATGAGCTTAACGTCACCTGTTTTCAAAAAATTGTGCCCTTGTGATTTATTTGATTTTTAAATTGCAAAAACATCCTCTTGGAAATAGATTTGCATCGTCAGAGCCCAAAACAGCTTTGTTGTGTAAATAATTGGCCAAAATGCTTATTAAAAGGCTTGCCGTTTTAGCTGAAAATTTAATCATTTTAATATGCTCATTTGGTGCTGAAGAAATATTACTGTTATTATCAGTGTTGTGCTTTTTTTTCAGAATTCAGAAAAAGATGAATATTGTTTGTTAGCAAAGATGCATTAAATCAATAAACTGATGCACAAAATCAACATGTTTTTTTTCAGGATACTTTTAATAAAAAAAAAAAAAGCATTTATTTGAAAAAAGATATCCATTAAAACATTAGACATGTCGTTAACACGTTATAATCACTACGCACTATGAATCATCTATTAAGCATAAGCAAATAGTGAATTCGTTATTTGTTAAGCATTAACTGTACATTAATAGATGTTTGTAAGCAGTTTTTTGACATTTAAAATATGCTTAATAATTGTTACTTCATACTTTGTTACTGTTGAATATTTTTCATGACTAAATTAAGCATTGCATTATTTACAAGTCATTTGTTTTTAGGAGTAGTTGGTGTTTTTTAGGATCATTCAAAATGAGTTAGTAAATGATTGATAAACTATTCAAATCAACATTTATATATCTTATTATTCAGGCATATTGTAATAGTTCATTTGTATGTTAATTAATGCTTTATTAACTCAACTTTAGTTTTGTGACCTAATCTAAAGTGAGGACTATTTCTGCTTTAATAAATGATAATGAAAGGTTCAGTATCAAATAAACAATACATCTCTGCAATCTTATCTAAATAGTAAAATTCCTGTAAAGTTTAAACATTGTCGAATAACAGGAGTGTCAAAATATAAAATAAAACTGGATAAAACAATACCAACAATATAATAATTTACCAATATATTATGATATAACATTTCAATATTATTTAGCAATGTTTAAACTGCACAGTAATTATATTTTAGTTAAGGTTGCAAGGGTTTATTTTTAATTTTATTCAGTTTCATTTGTGTATCTTCAAATGAATAGAACTGAATAAAGTCGTTTATTTATATTTTTCCTGTCTGGAATGTACTGAGCCTTTAATTGTCATTTATTAGGGATTTATAAAGCATAAATTGTCCTCACTTTAGATTAGGTCACAAAAAATATGAGGTTAACAAAGCAGTTATTAACTTACAAATTAAAAAATAAATGCCTGAATAATAAGATATATAAATGTTAATTTAAATAGTTTATTAATCATTTACTTACTCATTCTGAATAATCTTTAAAAAAAACAACTTCTCTCAAATTACTGGTTTGCAAAAGATGCAATACTTAATTTAGTAATGAAAAAATAATCATTCACAATGTATGAAAACACAATCATTAAACACATTATAAATGTATGTCAAATATAGAGCATTTGTATCTGCAGTTATAAACTGCTTACTAACAACTGTTAAAGAATTGACTATTTGCTAATGCTTAATAAATGATTTATAGTATGTAATTATTATAGTGTTACCGATATTTCTTTACTGTTACTATCAATCAATTTAAAGTACCTTTACAAAAATACATATATTCTGAATAAAAATACTGACCCCAACAGTAAGAACAGTAAATAAATTATGGATTTCTTTTTTTTTTTAATTGAAAACAGACAGCATGCAAACCTTTCTTTCCTCATGCTCAGAGTACAGTATGTTAGTGTCATTACCGTTTTTCATGATTGCTTTGATGCAGCCGTCAACTGAAACTCCACATTTTCAAAACAATTAACACACAAGCCTAATCAGCGGCACTCATGATCAAAATTTTGCTTGCAAAACACACATACTGTGTCAAAACCTTTAAAATATGCAACAAAAGCTAATTTTGCCTTCAAACAGCACAACTTGCAAACAAGTATATGAGCTCTTTCAATTTATCATTACACAATGGACAACAAAATACAAAATACAGAACTCAGTGTGAATCTGTTTGACATTGCTTGCCATTGTAGCCTATTGCCAATGCCATTTGTTGTCTTTCTATTTGGGCTGTCAAATTTGCCTTTTTGCAAAGAATTGGATCCAGAATAAGAAATGATTTGATTAAATTTATATTGAATTCATGATATTTTTCAAACAGTGGCTGAAAACTGAAATACTGTAAAAAAAATAACATACTGTAAATATTAGAGAAAACACATCTAAACCAATATACAGTCAAATCTATTGGGAGTTTAAGACATAGCCACTGACCTCCTCCATCCATGCTGGCACAGAACAACCCAGACCTTCCAGCGTTTTTAAGGTTTGCAGACTGATTGCTAATTGTAAATTTGTGTGAAGGAGTGTCAAAACAGTGCTTCAGTGATTTCAAACTGATCTTGGTAGTTTTTAATGGTTAGGAATAGATGGTTTCTGTTTAATTACCATAACTAAAACAATGGAGTTTGGACTGCTTGAATGACATCCGTGTTAACTGTTTTGAAAAAAGTTGGGAAAAATGTGTCAACACAATGAGAAAGAGTTTACACATTTGCAAGACATGTCTTCTGCTCTGCTGGGATAGTGATGAGGAAAATGGAGTGGATCCTAGTTTCTTTAGCAAACAAGAAAAACTGTAAATCTAAATATAGACTTTTATTAGCATCCCTAATTTACACTTGTTAGACTCAAACACATTATTACAGGGCTTTTACAAGAAAGGTATTTATAAATGTTAAACTCTCTTTCCTTATAGTTTCATTTCAAAACCTGAAACCAGACTGAACACGAACTCACATGCTCACAGTCTGGAGCATGTAGGGTTATATAGTGGTTTCTGTTTTTCAAATAACTCCATTCGCTGCTGGCATCTGGAGAGCCTGAAATCCCCAAAGATAGAGCATTTATGTGGCCAGTCCTTGTTTTTGTATCCAACGCAAAGCTCGAGTCAAGAGCCTTAAGCCTTGTGTTGTGGTAGCCAGTCACTCATCTAACGTACGCCACATAAATTTTTTTTCAGTACGTCTACGTCCGTCTCCAACAAACAGGATTTGGGCATATTTCTGCACGTCCCACAGCACTTTCCCCAAACCATCTGTCATAATAGAAAAGCACATTAATAATCCTGCAAACAGATCATAAATTTCCTTGGCTGAGGATGATTGTACCAGTAGTAAACATATTTGGTGTTACAGCTCCCTGTTTTAAGGATAGCTGCATGCATTTGTATTATGTAATGCATCATGTGCTAAGTTTAACATTACCATTCAAAGGTTTTAAAATGGTAATGTTTTTAAAAGAAGTCTTTTCTTCTCACAAAGGTGGGATTTCATACAAAATGCATTATCAAAAACAGTAATATCGTACTTTTCTGCTTCATCAGAAATCACTTTAATATGCTGATTTCTATGGAGCCAGATCAGTCTCAAAAATAATAAGTTTGCAAAAATAAAACTTATTCATGCACCGCGCAATTCACATTTACAAAATCCAATTAGCAAATTTAAAAATGTTTAAATTCAATTTGTAATTTCTAAAAACAATGTGTGGATTTACTAGTAAAAATGATAAATATTTCCCTGAATAAACTGGATTTGTGCAGTTACAAATTGTGTTTTGAAATTACGAATTAGATTTGCACATGCATGAATTGAATTTTGAATCAGCGGATTGGATTTGCATATTTACGAATTGTGTTTTGAATTTACGAATTGGATTTGCGCATTTTCAAATAGTATTTTGAATTCATGAATTTGATTTGCGCATTTATGAATTGTTTTAAATTTACGAATTAGATTTTGTAAATGTGAATATAATATTTTTGAGACTGATCTGGCTAGATTTCCTGCTCAATAGAAAATATATGTAACATTATTATACACTAATAATCATTAATGTATAATTTTGCAAAGAAAGTTAAAAAGTATTTATTTGACAGAAATCTATTGTGAAATTATAGCTGACTTTACTGTTTCAATAAATTGACAAAATTAATTTTTTTTTTCAGAATAAAAAAAATGAATAAATTCAATTCAATTCATCTTTATTTTTTATAGCACTTTTACAATGTAGATTGTGTCCAAGATTGTGTCAAAGTTCTAGTACATTGAAACAGTGGCAGTCCAGTTTTCAGAGTTGAAGTTAAGTTTAGTTCAGTTCAGTGTGGTTTAAATTTCACTGCTGAAAGTTTAAACACTGAAGAGCAAATCCGTTCCATTGATGCACAGCTCCACAAGTCCCAAATTAAGCAAGCCAGTGTCGACCGTGGCGAGGAACAAAACTTCACCAAATGATGATTGAAGAAAAAAACCTTGAGAGGAACCAGGCTCAATTGGACACGACCATTACTCCTCTGGCCAAAAATGAATTACATATTTTTTATTTAAAAAATTAGAAAACACATGAAAGACAGCATGACATTTGTTTAAGACATTGTATAAATAACACATTTTTTTCACTGCATTTAATGACTCAAATTTTTGTCAACATTGATAATAAATTTCAGAATAAATTTCAGAAATACAATTTTTCCCTCACAGGAATAAAATACAGCTTGAAAAATAACAACAAGTACATATGTAGTTAATTAAATATTGATCTATACTGAAAGCAATTCAACCTAAACATTACAAATAAAAAGAACAAATATGTTGCTGATACATCATGCATCCTTATATTGCTCTTTCTTTCTACAGGGGGAGAGTGGGTGAAACTGGATGGCTTTGCAGTCGAGCCTTTCAACAGATCCTCTCCAGGTAAAATACCTATTCTTTCTCTACAAATGATTAATGCACTTCAGTCAGTTTAGCACCTCTTAATGGGGAGTAAAATACAATTTTAAGTCCAGCCAACCTTCTTGGAATGCACAGCACTACTAGTTTTATCATAACTGCATTAAAAAATGTTGTTTAGATAGATCTCTTAGGCAAAATATTCATTCATTTTCCTTCGGCTTAGTCCCTTTATCAGGAGTCACCATAGCTTAATGAACAGCCAACTTATGCAGCATATGTTTTAAACAGCAGATGCCTTTCCAGCTGCAACCCAGTACTGGGAAACACCCATGCACTCTCATATTCACACACACACACATATACTACGGTCAATTTAGTTAATTCCGTTTACCTATAGGGCATGTCTTTGGTCTGTGGGGGTAACCTGAGCACCCGAAGAAAACCCACTTGAACACAGGGAGAACATGCAAACTCTAAACAGAAATGCCAACCTACGCCAGCTGGGACTCGAACCAGTGACTTTTTGCTGTGAAGTAACAGTGCTAACCACTAAATCACTGTGCCACCAACACTATTTCAGTTCTTTGTTGTTTTTGTACATTGATGGTAAATGGCAGATTTCAGACATGCAGGCTTGTGGAAAACATCTATGTTGTGTTACCCATGAGACGTTTAAAGCTTGGATGTGTGTTTGAATGCCAGAGAGAGAGAGAGACCTCTGATACCCCACGTTCCTGGAAAGACAGTGGCAGTTTGTCAGTTGTAAATTTGTTAAATCAAAGCTTTTATTTCTCTTCTTTATGATTCCACTGAGTACACTTGAAGCCAGACTCAGTACTTGTGAGCCCTCCAAAGGGAAGAAGGAATCTCAGATTTAAACCAAATGAAGAAAGGTTTAGTTTCCTGTGATCTCAGGAGTAACACAGACGAAAACTCATAAATTGAAGAATCCCACAGACAAACCGACAGACAAACATGTGATCGGTGTTCCAGCACACCTCACTAAAATATGCTACAGATTACAATGATTTTATTTGGGGATGTGTGGGGCTAGAAGTTAACTTAATGACTAAATGCTACCTAACATTAAAATACTAGTTGTTTAAAAACGTGAGTTCTTCCTTATTCACAGAATATTACTTATACTACCTCCCTGTGTATTATTAACACACTGACACTTTATCATATTTATAATTCAGGACTGCTACTTACCTCATACTATCTCCCTGTATATTATTAAGACATTGTCACTTTATAATATTTACAAGCCTTTTACTCTAAATACTGTTTTGCATCTGCACATCTCTGATTTGCACTCCATGTGCTCTTAATTGAAATTGTATTGTCTACAATTTTTATTTTTACTTATATTTTAAATTATGTGTGTAATTGCATTTATTGTTATTTTTTCTTTAAAACTCTACTTTTTGTATTAATACTATATGCACCTATAGGGTCTGAGAGTAATGCAATTTCAATTCACTGTATGACATGTGCATGTGGTTGAATTGACAATAAATCTAACTTTTACTTTGATTAACGTTATTTACATGCAGTAATACACAGTTGAAGTCAGAATCATTAGCCCCCTGAATTAGTAGCCCCCCTGTTTATTTTTTTCCCCGATTTCTGTTTAACAAAGAGAAGATTTTTTCAAAAAAACATTTCTAATCATAATAGTTTTAATAACTCATTTCTAATAACTGATTTATTTGATCTTTGCCATGATGACAGTAAATAATATTTTACTAGATATTTTTCAAGACACTTCTATACAGCTTAAAGAGACATTTAAAGGCCTAAATAGGTTAATAAGGTTAGCTAGGCAGGTTAGGGTAGTTAGGCAAGTTGTATAATGATGGTTTGTTCTGTAGACTATCAGAAAAATATAGCTTAAAGGGGCTAATAATTTTGACCTTAAAATGGTATTTAAAAAAAAATTAAAACTGCTTTGATTCTAGCCAAAATAAAACAAATAAGACTTTCTCCTGAATTAAAAAAAAAAATCAGACATACTGTGAAAATTTCCTTGCTCTGTTAAACATTAATTGGGAAATATTTAAAAAAGAAAAAAATTAAAGGGGGGCTAATAATTCTGACTTTATCTGTATATAGTAATATATTATTTGTCTTGATGATAAAGAATGAAACCATTACATGTGTAGACTTATTGTAAGTCACTTTTATTTTAAGAATTATTTTTATAATTTTACAATTGACATTGTTCTACAAATGTTAATATGTCTCTATTGGCTATAATGCTGAATAAGTGAACACTGAGGTTTAGCAGTGCCACAGAAGGAAAATCTGGATACACCTAGGCAAGTGTTCAGTACATGGAAATGGCATACTGTGATTTCCTTATTTTCATGTGAATCTTTTTTGAGTTTTATATCCATTTTAAGTGTAATATCCTGGACAAAATGCGGAATAATGGGATTTAAAATGCATTTAGCTCCACCAAGAGGCGTAAAGTCTGTTTAAATGTATCTTTTGTTAGTTCAACATTATATTATATATACATTATATTATAGTATATTGTGATATTTCCCAAACGATGTGAAAACAAACACATGTAGACTGCTGAATATAATATAAAATAATATGTATGTATATATATATATATATGTTTATGCATTGTGTCATATTACTTGGATGACATTTTATGATTTAGCCTATACTTTATCCACAACACAATTCAGGAGTAAACTTGATTACATCAAGAGAGCTCTACTCACTCCTTGTAGCTAACAAAAATTCTCTTCAGTTGAAGCAATCAAAATTTTTTTTTACATTTTAGAGAAGTATGATTTTTTTTTGCATGTATTTCAGAGTACATCATGTTATGTGTGTATGTTTGTGTTCATGTGTCTGTGTGTGGTTGTGTGGCACAGACATGAGCTGCTGGAATGCTCAATTTTATCCATTCCATGTTTGTTTTTTTGCTATTGCAATTGTAATGATGTTACCATAGCGTTGCTCTGATTGTTCTCTAGCCTTTCCGTTGGGTTAACAAAAGACATATGCTTCATGTCATTGGTTTCTTGAGCGTGATGTGGTAAGAATGTGGCAGGAAAAGCTCAATTTTGTTTCACAGCCACTATTGTTGTGCTATCATCTCTTTGTCATCACTTTGGCAGTAGAAGTAAGTGGGACAAACTTTTGAGAGCAGATCCACATGTAGACCAGCTGAATACACATATGGACATGGTAACTCTGGTCCAGTCAGTGCAACCTGGAGCTTATTATAGCACCCAGAACCTCCCACAGAGAGAATTATAAAGATAATTTGTAAAATTGATGAACAAATCTGACACAAGGGGTGGGAACAGAAGACAATTTTGGAACTTGGATCCAGGACAGGGACAAAAAAAGTGAGGTTTGGGCCTGTATCTTTTATACCTGTTTCAAGGCAAGGGAGATGTCAGCCTGCATCAGCTGTGTTGGTTGGACTCTACACTGTAAAACCCAAAAGGTTAGGGTAATTTAAACCGTTTGAGGAAACCGATTGCAACAAACCATTAAAGTTCCTAAGAAGTGCTGTGGACTTAGTCCATTTGAGTAAATGAAGCATTTTGAGCACAGTAAAACCTGATAAATGAAGAGAACTCAAGCCAACTGAGTACTGTAAATCCTAAAAAGTTAAGGCAACTCAAACCGTTTGAGGAACCGATAGCTACAAACCATTTTAGTTGAATTAATCTATATGAGTACTGTGGACTTACTCCATTTAAGTTGAAGTAATGAGGTATTTAATTAACTCATTACCTTAAAAACTGAGTTGAATTGAGTAGAATTTTTTTACAGTGAATGAATGGGAGAATAGCTATCTACAAAAGTAGTTGCTTTAGCTATCATTTCAGTTCAGTTCAGACATTTCTTTTTACCAACAGCTAACTTTTTACAAGAGCTAATAATGCTGCACTGTAAAACCCCAAAAATTAAGGTAACTCAAACCATTTGAGGACTTCTAAAACTAATCATAATGAGTACTGTGAACTTAATCCATTTGAGTATACGAAGCAATTTGAGCATAGTAAAACCCTATAAATGAACAGAACTCAAACTGTTGGAGGAAACCAATTGCTACAAACCATTTGAGTTGAAAAAAAAAACACCAATCTATATAAGTACTGTGAACTTACTCTATTTAAGTTAAAGTTAAAGTTTTCAAATGAGTAGAATCAACCTTCAGTAAATTTTGAGTTAACTACACTCATTTCAGTTGATAAAGTTGACTGTTGGGTTATACAGTGTGTTAGAGCTTATGCTTTCAGCATGTGATGCAAAAGCAATCATAAAGTTGTCCCTCAGCATGCACGCAAAGCTTGTGTTTAGCCAAAACAATCATAAAAAGTCTGTATGAAACACAAGAAGCTGTTTCTTCCTTACCTTCTTTCCTTTGCTTCTTTTTATTCTCTTCAGCACTGTAAAATTCCAACTAACAAATTGTTAACAAAATTTAAAATTGTATAAGGACTGTTAGAACTGTTTGTTTAATAATAATAATGAAATATGTTGAGGAGACGTAAATTTTACTTCCTGCACTGTCAGACATTAAAAGTTGAGTTAACTTAAAATTTAAAGCAACTGGTTGGAAAGAAATATTGAGTTTTAAAGCTTCAGTCGTTGAAATATAATATTTTTTTTTAATTGAGTTGAATCCACTTATTCCATGAAGTATACTTGACTTAAACCTACCTTTTCATTCAACTTAAAAAATAAGTTTGAATAAACTAAATTTCTTTGCAGCCAGTTGTTTAAAAATTTTAAGTTAACTCAACTTAGAAAAAATATTTGGCACAACTTCAAACATTAAAGTTGAATAACCTCACAATTGCTTTGCAGTCGGTTGCTTTAAAATTTTAAGTTAACTCAACTTTTTATTTTTTATAGTGAGTCTTTGTTGATACAAATTTTAATAATGCACTGATGTGGACATTCTGGCTGATACATATAAATGTTAACAAATTAAATATTTAAATATTTAAGCTGATAACTGATATAAATGCTGACCTAATTAAAATAATAAATATTGACCAGTACAAGGAATGCACATTTATATTACATGCCACTATGAAAACACTTGATTTAGATTTATCAATCTCTTAAAATAGCAGTGAAATGTTCTGTCTATTCGCTACTTCATTATAACTGCACATTTTAAATCATTTATTAAGCATTGGGAAATAGATCATTTGTTATTTGTTAAGCATTAGCTCTACATTATAATACATTAGCAATCAGTTTATAAATACAGCTACAGGTGCTGTATTTCCAACTTATGAGCACATACCTGTACATTATATAATGTGCTTAATGGTTGCATTTTCGTGTTTGTACTAATTTAAGTGTTGCATTATTTACAAACCTGTAGTTGGTGGTTTTTAAAAGAGTAGTTTAAAAAGTGGTTTAAAAGAGTAGTTGTAAAATAAATAAAAATTATTATTTACATTTATAACATATAAATGATTAATAAACTGTTAATGAAAATGTTTAAAACTTATTTATCAGGCATATAGTTACTTTGCATGTTTATAAATGCTTTATTAACACAAATACACACATCTCATCTAAAGTATGCTTTATATGACGATTAAAAGCTCAATTCTATTCTAAACAGAAAAAGAAATATTAACTAAAATATTAATTTCAAGCTGCAAAAATGAAACTGTACATCTGTATGAAATGGAAAATAAATCCTTGCAATTAAAACTAAAAATAAAATTATTAAACTTCGCTGAATAACACTGAAATCGTGTATCATATTGTTGTTCTATTGCCAAGTTATTATATCGTTGTTTTATCAAATTTTGTTGTATATCGACACTCCTGTTATTCACCTCACTGTGAAATAGGCTCTCATTGACCAAAAAATATCCATACTTTTCAATGCCACATTGGCTGAACTGTCATAACCCACCTGTGTGACAAGTGTGACTACAACTGATCATCTGTGAATGATTGAAGAAATGAAAAAAGAGGCAGTGTTTTTCATTATGCTCTCTGGGATGTAGTGCGCACCAGAGGGAGAGATGCGCGTGAAGCAGTGTGTTGAAGGAAAGAGAGGAGGAAGACTGTCTGACTGTCTCATTCGCCTGCCAAGTCCTGTCAGATGGGGGATTATAGTAAAGCAATAAGAGAAAGGAAGTCAGAGTGCACATGACTATAAACTGTACTCACTTCAGCTAATCTTCACGTCTCTGTTATTTTACACAATATTCTCCAATGTTGTCTGGTGAAGAAGAGATTGTGAACATGACTTGTCCTCTCTGAAGTATAGCAGGGTTCAAAAGTAAATCATTTACTCATCCTTCACATGTTTTAAACCTTTATGAGTTTCTTTTTTCTGTTGAACACAAATTAAGAGACAGTTGAAGTCAGAAGTAGTAGCCTACCTTTTATTTTTGTTTTGTTTTTAATATCTCCCAAATGATGTTTAACAGAGCAAGGAAATTGTCACAGTATGTCTGATAATATTTTTTCTTCAGGAGAAAGTCTTATTTGTTTTATTTCAGCTAGAATAAAAGCAGTTTTTAATTTTTTGAAAGGGTCAAAATTATTAGACCCTTTAAGCTATATATTATTTGATAGTCTACCGAACAAACAATCATTATACAATAACTTGCCTAATAACCCTAACCTGCCTAGTTAACCTAGTTAACCCTTTAAATGTCACTTTAAGCTGTATAGAAATTGAAAAATATCTAGTAAAATATTATTTACTGTCATCATGACAAAGGTAAAATAATTTAGTTATTAGAAGTGAGTTATTAAAACTATTACATTTAGAAATAAGTAAAAAAAAATAGAAACAGAAATTGGGGAAAAAATAAACGAGGGGGTGGGGGGCATGGGGGCTAATAATTCAGAGGGGCTAATAATTCTGACTTCAATTTTATGCTGAAGAATGTTGGAAACTTGTAACCATTGATATCCATAGTATTTGTTCCTACTGCCTTCAAATGCCACCATGCGTTTAGTGCATGTCGGCATCATCGTCTGAGGTGCAAGTCATTTATTAAGTGAAGAAAAGATTCACGCAACTTCTTCTTCCGCAGCAAATTCCCTTTTTACTGTTCATATTTAGCACCAGTTAATCAGGAAGTGACGATCTTGTTCTCTTTGACTCGATGGATTGAAACTCTGCTTTATTTATACATATTTATGCAATATTTCAGTTTTGCGCATAAAGTTAATTAGCATTATTGGTTGGAAACATAGCTAATGATGCAGGAGCAGATTAGGTGAACTATCAGCCTGCACACGCAAAGAGTTTCATGGCAGAAATTACACTTTCATTTATGGGTAAACTATCCCTTTAATGTTGATTAATGTTGATTAATTACTTTCTAATTTCATAGCTTTTTTGTTGCTTTAATAATGATATTCTTTATGTGTAATTAGGGTCAGAAATCTGACCTTTTTAAACAAATGTTACTGTAACTTGGTTAACATCAAATTGCAAGTTTCTTCATTTTACATCAGAACGTGTCTTTGTTTAATTTAGTTCAAAGTCCTTTATTTATTTCCATGCTTAAATTATAGATTTTGAATGCCATGTTTGGGCTTTAAAGACCACCGTAAGATTGATTATGTAAAATAAACATGGTAAAGTGTTAGAAGTGACCTCACAATGAGTTCAGTTTTATTAAAAGTAAGTTCAGGACAAATCATTTTCTAAAACACATTTAACCTGCCCCATTCTTTAATTTCAAAAAGACTTGTAACATGTTTACTTGAATCCAAGGTTTAAAAAACACAATTTTTCTCATAACATACACTGTAGCAGCATCTTTTTATCCAGCACACTCTCTTTAAACCCTTCCATTACACACTGCTCTGACAGATTGGCCACTGAAGCAAAGCAGGCTTGGGTCTGGTCAGTACCTGGACAGGAGACCTCCAGGGAAAATGAGGTGGAAAAAGTGTTAGTGAGGCCAGCAGTGGGTGATTACCCTGCAGTCTGTTTAGGTCTTTTTGCAAAAAACAAAACAAAACTGTACTTAAAGTCCTTCTAAAGAAATGTTAATTAATGCCCTGACTCTTTGTGGTCATTAAAAATATCTTGGCCATTCTAATAAAGAGCAATGGTGTAACTTTGGTGTACTGGCCTAATTGCCTCTATTTGTTTTCATCAATTATGGCATCCTATGATTCATGGCTTTGTTATTTAGGCCTCCTAATGATCCCATTCCTTTAATTGGCTCTGTCACCCTATATCCCCTCCACCTATAGCTTGTGTGCTTTAGTGCCCTTCTTTCTTCCAATCCTTATTCTATTTTTGCACCCCTACCCCTTCCCCTTGGCCCTTGAAACAGAGTGTGAAGGGGAAGGTATTCAAAATTTACCCCAAAGAAATGAGACACCACTACAACACCTGCACACGTCATCATATGTCATCACAATCTCTTGCTTCATATGAAATCAGATGATCGAGACTGGTGTAGTTATTTCAGTTTTTTTATTTTTTTTATTTTTACTTCTAGAAAATCACTGCAGGCATATATCATGCTATCATATAATGATATGTGGAAAAAGATTGTGTGCATTTACACAAAGTCTATATTGATCTTTGTAAACACACAAAAACAACATCAACATTATAGGAGACACCGTAAAAAAGTCATTCCCTGCCACTAGACTTATCTGACAGGGTATTTGAGTGTCACCGAGTGTCAGAATGTTGTGGGACTGCTATACAAGAGTTATTATTATGGATTATAGATAGCAAAATTTAGTATAATAAATTTAGGAATTTGTAATTTTAGCTGGGTTTTTTCAAAGCATGACGGTAAAACATGAACATCATTATAAATGTATTAAAAATATGCTTGTTTGTTGTAAAAATTTGTAATATTGACAAAAATACTAATTTGTGCATTTTCTGACTTCCTTGTGCAGCCATGCTGCTGTTGTAGCTAGTGTTTTCTGGGAAATTTATTTAGCCCTTGGTTTTGAGTGTGGTCCTGAAAAATCTCAGTTTCAAGGGCTGTCTACCCTTCCCTAGCCCTACACCTTCAAGCTAAAGAGAATTGGGACAACCCCTACCCATTCATGTGAACGTGCCAAATGAGGGGTAGGGGTAAGGGGAAGAGCTAAGAGGTAGAGTTGGCATTGAGCCTAACTTTGTTCGTCATGAACTTTTAAGTTTTGCAGACCTTTTGCATTCAAATAAAAATCGCAAAATAGAGATACCTTAACACTTTATAGTTACTCATAGGCCCTTAATGCCTGTCAAAAAAATCCTAAAATTCCCATATGTCAATTGGAAAAAAGTAAGTATTTGTTCTTAAAAATGTTATCCGTCTTTCTAATGAGACGTTAAACCGAGGTCCTGACTTTTTCACGTAAAGAGTAGGGGTGCAACCCCGGTTTAATCTGGGGTCACCACAGCAGAATGAACCACCAACTTATCATATGTTTTACACAGTGAATGTCCTTCCAGCTGCTACCCAGTACTGTTAATCATCCATACACACTCATTCACTCGTACACTATGGCCAATGTAGTTTATTTAATTCACCTATATCGCATGTCTTTGAACTGGGGGAAACCGAAGCACCCGGAGGAAAGCCACACAAACACGGACAAACAAAACAGTCAAAAAAAATGATGTCCAATAGTCAAAACAACAGAATCTGTCCCAAAGCATGTAAAAATCTAATTATCCATATTATAGTGCATATTATGGTTCATTCTTTAAAGAAAGAATCTCAAAGGTCATCAAACTCCAAAGCCAACATGATTTTTAATTTTCATTAGGCAGGATGGTGTCTATAACTTCATCACAGATTAACCCGAGGCCCCCAACTCAGAGGACAGCACTAGGACATCAGAGGGCTCCTCAGTCATCATCAGGACCAGAACCTCCTCATCAAATAGGACGGCTTCCTATCAGACCTCTAAACAAACACAGAGTGGACCTCAGCCAACACCAAGCAGACCAGCGCAATGCTAACAAGCCCAAACTGGGTAAGAATATAGAAATGTGGTCTTTAAAGGTGTTTGAGGTTTGCAAGCTGTATGCCTCTAAATAGAGTTTCCATTATTTGTAAGCAGCTCAGATTGCATGTCTTCAGTATGTCCCACAGCAGGTAATGTGTAATGATACGTGGCCGTATCTGGTATCCCCCCTCTGTTCCTAGCATCTGAGTCCGTCTATGTGGTATCACTGCAGGCACCCAGAGCCCAGGGGAGGAGTGCACCCATCAACACAGCTACCATGAGTAAAAAAGTAATTACAGGTATATCACTGCTAACCAAAAGGACACCATATTAAATATTCTATCTCACACGAGGCTAATCTTCAGTCTTTTTATTACTGTTTTTTTATGTCAGAGTCTGAAGTTGTGGATGAAGTAGAGGACATCACAGTCAGAGTATTATCTCCTCAGTCTGTCCTGATCACATGGGTTGACCCACCTGTTGAGAAGAACAAGGAAATACCAGGGGGATCAAGGTAAATTAAGTTTTTTTAGTATACTGGTTTGTTTGTGGGCTGTATATAAGAGTCCAGATCTTACTGTATGTTTAGATGCAGTAGTAGTGTTTAATAAAGGTATAGAAAAAATGATAATATTGTAAAATATAAATACGATTTATGATCAATGTACTGGAGATAGACACAAGTTTATAAACACTGGATTGTTTTTTAAACTGTACCTTTTTTCAGACACAAATAAGAGAATGTTCAAATGAATACTAATAATGCTAAATATTTTGTAAAGAATTAGCATTGTTTTTACTGCTACTTTTGATCAATTTTATGTATCCTGAGTGAAAATTGAGCCATTCTATTAGAAGACAAGAACGGATCTTAAATATCTGAATAATGTGTATTCGTACAGTGTATATATAAATATAATACAATGGCTTATTAAAGCATAATAATTACAAATGTGTGCAGGTATTACAGAGTGAAGTACAGAGAGAAAGGAGAATCTGCTCGATGGGAATACAAGGACACTACTCAGAGACGGCTTATGATTGAAACACTCTCTGCTGACAGCATGTACGAGTTCTCTATTTGTATCTCACAAGGAAATCATATGGGGAAATGGAGTGCATCTGTGTTCCAGAGAACCCCTGAATCAGGTTTGTTTACACTCCTAGATCTTTAACCCAGATGTTTTGCTTAGTTTGCATTGCTGAGCAGCGAAATTCTGACAGCATTCATTATAACAAACATAATAGTCTGCAAACTATAAAGGCCAGTGTCCAGACTGCAAATAAACTGTACTGTACATGCATCATAACTGTCAATTTACTAATATATATTATTTGATGTGGCTGAAACCATGTTCTCAAATATTACACATCTGAAAATATGCTCTCATGAAACAAAGGATAAACAATGTTTAGAATACAATGTATTATATTGTGCACCCATACAACTCCAAATACAATCAGTACAATCATGTCTTTCACAATCAGTTTTTAAACCATGTAAGCATGTTGTAACCGCCTTGTTCGGTGTAATGTCATTGTTTACTCCCTGTTTGGAATTTTTGTTTGGAGTGATCAGAATGACCTCATTCCCCTGGAAAACATAAAGCTGTCTTTTGTTTCCATCTGAATAATCTCCAGGCAGAAATGTTTCTCTTTTTCAAGAGAGTTCCCACTGCTTATTATATAAACTCTCCACTCTAACACCTTAAAAATAAAAGTTCTTTATTGGCATTGAGGCTTTTATAGAGAACCTTTATCAACCTTGGAACCTTTCTGCTCCATAAAAGGTTCGTTAGAATAGGAAAATGTTCTTTAGGTAACTGAAAGGATCTTTATGGCACCTAAACTGGTTCTTCTATGACAGGACTGGGACACTTCGATCTTGAAGGCAGACTATGGGCCCTATCATACACATGGCGCAATAAGGTGCAAGACATGTTTGCCGCGATGTATTGCTTCTTTCAGACCAGTGCAATCCTAATTTTCACATTTTGTGCCTTGTTGTTTAAATAGCAAATCCATTTGCACCACTTTGTGGCTTAATATTTGTTCCGGTCTAAAAAAAAGGTGTGTTAAGGCACATTGTTGGTGTGGTGGTATTTTGAGAGACTGAAATTGACTGCACCACTAACCCACTGTAAGTTGGTCTAAAGTCCAGCACAGAGCGCATTAGTTATGAACCTATGCAGGTCCAAAACAAGTACATTTTTTTCATATTTATTTTATTTTGTGTTGTCACTTGTCACTTTATGTACACTGGAAGCTTCTGTAGCCAAAACAAATTCCTTGTGTGTGTGAAGCACACTTGGCAATTAAACTGATTCTGATTCTGATATGAAAAAAAAATTAAAGGATTCAAATCCAAAAATTACTATTTTCTACATAAATATTAGGACCACTACCTGCGTGCCTTCTTCGTGTTGGGGGGGGGGGGGGGGACGGGGACTTGCAGTCAGTTTATTCATGACAATTTGTATAATGTTTTTATTATTAGCAGTATTATTTATTATCTGCATATTTATATTTGTTTTAATAAAAAACAAGTTTAGATTTGTCCACCTGTCGGGTTTTGGAGACGTATGCATCACTATATGGGGCATAAGAATAGGATGTGTGTTTGGATAGAACTTTTTGACCACACTTTATTTTTATTGTTTAATTATTTTCTTTGATGGAAATTAGAACTTAATTTATAAATATTTTTGAAACAAATCTTTGCTCTTAATAAAAAAAATTTAAACAAGTAGGCTAATGGATGTCTTCAGTGGAGTGCGTACAGCACCGTTACCTTATCCACAAAAGTAAGGGAGAAAATAAAAGTAAACTTAAAGTAAAGAGGCTGAATGGAGGAGGCTCATTCTTGATCCTTGCACTGCAGATGGTCTGTTTAACTATTTACTCGCTAGTAAAGCATTCAGTTTTTCCACTTGGTTCCACCATGTAAATAGCAAATGTGCATCATTATGCTCAAAACACACCCATAACTTGTTAAGAGAATAAGCACAACCCTGTTAGACCATGTGCCAGGGCGCAAAGCATATTTTTCAGTCCTTAAAATAGCAAAAGTGGATTCGGACAAGCCCCTAATCCTTTTGCGCCATGTGCTTTAGACTTTGCGCCTAGATCATTAAAATAGAGCCCTATTCTTTAGAGTTTAGATCCATCTATAAACATGTATATTTGTTACAAGCAATTCATAATTTTCATGTAATTTACAACTTTCAGAATATTTTCATGTACGTATGTTTGATGTAATGGAGCTGACCTCATTAGGACATTTGCCATCGCGGACGAAAGTTTCTCTGTTCTATGGAGTCTCCACACACACACACACACACACACACACACACTCACACAAATACACACACACACACACACACAAATATATATAGGAAACTTTTAGACATTTTTCAAGAGTATGGCTGTAAACAACTTTTTGGCCGTGTTTTTTCACTCTTCCACCTTTCTCTATGCAGCCCCCTCTGGTCCTCCAGAAAATTTTGAAGTCAAACCACTAAGAGGAAAAGGTACTGCTGTCACAGCAACTTGGGATCCACCCGAGCAAACCAATGGGCGACTGAGAGGTAAATTCATAAAGATATATATTGACCATAAGAAACATTTGTATTAGTTTAATGTAGTACACCCACCTTTACTCACACTTATAGTTCCACTTATAGTGGTAGCTTCATATTTATCTAGGACAGGAGAAAGTATTTTAACATTGGTAATATTTTATACAGATATCTGTCAGCTATTACGCTTGGAATATGCCCTAAATAAAGAACAGAAAACGACTTTCATTTGGAGAATAAAACATTGCTAATAGTTGACCATATGTCTTCCCTAAAACCACTTTGGGTATTGCCAAAATATATGAGAATGATAAGCCTCTTCAGCATTACAAATTTTCCAGCAGGCGTGCAGAGAATGTAATGCTAAATCAATACAAATGTACATGTGGAAAACAAAAACTATTCCCTGTTCCTACCAAAGGAACTTTCCTCTTTACTATGTTATCCTTGGCCTAAATTAATTGGTCCAATCTTTGGTATTCCCAGTGTTCACTGGAAAATAATAAGCTATGTTATCCAAATGCAATAGACCATACTGATTGATTTGACATCTACTTCCAGAGTACATCCTTTCATATGCTCCTGCTATGAAACCATTTGGTGCAAAGTCAGTTACATATCGAGGCACCACCACTTCTGCTACTATAGATGGACTTACACCAGGTGACCGATATATCTTCAAGATTCGTGCAGTCAATAGGAAAGGACAAGGACCTCAGACTAAAGCCATAATTGTTTCAATGCCAGCATGTAAGTATTCCCATATTATAAAAATTGATACATACATTTGTTTAGAGAAATATGGTTAAAGGAATAAATCACATAACATAATTACTTACCATGCACTCACCCTTCAAGACTTTCAAAATCATAATTTATTTTATTCTGTGGAACAAAAAAGAATATATTTTGAATATTAATGAAAAAATACGATGACAGTCGATGGCTATCGGTTACCAAACTTCTTCAAAATATCTTCTTTTGTGTTCAAGACAAGAAAGAAACTCAAATAGATGTGGAGCGAATGCAATAAAAGATGACATTTTTAATTTTTGCTTATACTATCTTATATAAGACTTGCAATTTGTCTCCAGCTAGCAATACTCACACAAGAAACATGGACAGCCAAAGGACAAGCCAAAGTACCTCAAAAACATCATCCAACAATGAATCAGACTACCAGGAACCAGATGAAATGGAAGAGCCCAATACTCAGACCACAACTCAAGCTCCAAACACAAATAGACGTCGCCCTCTTTCGCAAACCAGATCTTATCACAGCATCTTCTCCTCTGTAAGAGGTTCAGTCAGAAACGGAGGCTCAAAATCAAACTTGCATACATCCTCCACTCATACCAAAGATAGAGAAGATGAGGAGAAGCCAACAGCAGACAGTCCAATAGAAGAGAAGACCGGAGCAAATGAGGCTACTGAGGACACAAATCCAGAGAGGAGTAACAATGCATCACCACAAACACAAGAGCATTCAAAATTGTCACCGGACACAAAGGAATCAAAACCCAGCAATTCTGACATTGTCCCTAAAACATCCGAGGATAAACGTCCTCCTTGGACCCCTCGTACATCCTCAATTGTTGATATTAGTAGATTAAGAAGGCCTAGTTCTCGCAGTGGTTCTAGGTCAAGAATGCGGAGTGAAGATACTTCAAGTTCATCACTAAACCAAGAGTCTGCAGCTACAAGAAAGGACCTAACAGCGGTTTCCTATCCTGATGGACAAAAATCACACAACCAGATAACTGTCACTGATAGTATGCCTTCAGTTGCTTCACCTCAGGAAAACAGGCCTGAACCAGTAAAAGAATCAGAACCTTCTTCATCTATTTCTTCTTCTCCAACATATTCCTCCTCAGCATCCTCATCATCTTCTTCAGTGTCTTCCCCTTCATCATCCTTACCATCATCTTCTGGTACTAGAAGATTTTCCTCAGGAGCATCTGGAGCCAAGTATCCTAATGGAAGGAGAGTTGGTATTTCAACCAGAGGTCAAAGACTTCAAACAGGAAAGCCCAAACCTGATTCATCTTCATCTGCATCTTCACAATCCACATTGCCAACAGGAACCAGCACAGATAATCATGATACAACAGAAGTGCATGATACAAACCAAAAAATTACAAAGTTAAACACAGAGGAACTCCCAGTACCAAAGGAAAATGATGATAACGAAGAAAAGACAGTAGATTCCACTTCCCATTCTTCTTCAAGGACTAACCCTTCTACAACAGGACGAAGTTCATCCTTTTCGTTACCAAACCGAAATTCTAGAATAGTTACAAGCAGTCGTAGGCAAGATGGCAGGATACCATGGAGTAGGTCTGCCTCATCTGTAGGTGCAGGAAGGCCAATTATCAAAGGATTTCCTTCTCGTTCTACTTCTGTCAGCTCTCAAGACACTAGTGATAAAAACAAAGTTTCACCCACTGTATACCCAAAGCATAAAGTTAATCCTGTCTCGAATAAACCAAGTCTACTAAATGTAAAAAGTAGTAATGATCATGAAGATGATTATCTATATGAGGGAAGCAAAGAGATCTGGGATAGGCAAACCAAAGATGTAGTCTCAACAACAGCACCAAAAACAACAACAGCTGTGAGCGAATCTCACAAACCTGTCCAGAATTTCGAGAATGAAAGTGTAGATAGGGAACAAAGTAGTATGAGTACAGGTTTTAAGACAGTTCCTTCAGTTCCCCATAAACTCCCTACTGTAACTTCTAATGGTCGGGTCCGTTCACCTGTGGTAAGTCGTTTAAAAGGTTCACGGTTTCCTAGTAGATTGTATCCACTACAACATAGAAGACTAGGCGCTTCCACTCCGGATACGTCGGCTGCCTCCTCCCAAAACAATCCAGCAGCAGAATCACCACTTACCTCAGATCGAGACAGAGCTGCCAGCAGTAATGCTAATGTTAGACTCGCCTCGGGTTCAGTTTCTCGCCCTTCTCAAGGCCTGTCTGCTGGTGAAAGCTCCAGTGGGAATATATCTCCTGAGTCTCGCAGTCCAGTAATGGGATCGAGGCTGCGGTCAGCGTCCACTCCGGGCAATAGTTACAAACCCAGTTTTGGGAAAGGTAAGTTGTTGTTATCTGCTAGGATGTGAAAGCTGTACTTATTGTAAAAGAAGTTCTGTTTGTGCATAAAAAAAATATTTACTAATTTTAATACATTTCCATGTTCAGGGAAAAATGGACGACCAAATCTGACAGCTGCAAGCGGCAAAGTATCTTCAACATCTGATGAAAATCCTAAACCAAATGGAGTACGACATATCACAGGTCCTGATGGAACAAAATGGGTGTGTTTTTTTGGAGCATTATTATTGCTGAATTAGCCCTGTATGACTTTAAATCCATTAACCTCTTTTGTTTAGTAAATGATATTAATTTATAATTTATTTACAGTAGTCAAACTTAATTTAGACACTTAATTTTGTTTTCAATGTTTAAACTACGAAAGATTAATCTAATAAGTGAACTTTTTACCTACAGCAATAATGTAGCACTGACAGTGAGCTTCTGGTTTCAACAGTTAATTTCATTTCATTAAACAAAAAGACAGAATGTAATTTAGAATCACTAATATACTTGATACAACGATCATACTGTCCATTTCCATGACTTCTGTTGTCTGGATACACTAATAAATTACACAATACTGTAGTCCAAACAAAATTATATTTAAAGTAAGCAAAGTGAGAAGTCATGTCTCGCTAGGCATGGAAATTCTACAGGCAGGGACCCTAGGGACACTTTTTCAAGCAGTACTGTTTGACTGTCTCAATTTGCTCTGAAAGAAAGATTCTTCACCTTTATGAAAAAATTCATTCACTCTTTTAGATATTAGACCTGGATAAAGGAGTCTTAATGAATGAAAATGGAAGAGTCCTTCAGGATTCAAAAGGTAGACCAAGAAAGGTTATCCTTGGAGAGGATGGCAAGACGATTTTTGGTGAGTAGCTTGCATTTTCAATTTAAGTAAACTATAGAACTGACTTTTTACCAGAATTTATTTCTACTTGTTATGTTAGATGACCAAGGCAGCCCACTTGTAAACCAGGAAGGATTAGCATTATTTGGTCATGGAAGAGACAGCCGGCCAGTGAATAATCCAAGTGACAAGTACCTTACTGTGGGAGGAAAACCCATTGTGGGCTTAGACCGCCCTAAACTTAGGACTACAACCACTACAACTACATCTTCTACAACCACTACACCCACAACTACAACTACTACACCAACAACAACTACAGCAGAACCCACAACAGAAATGGTAACAGAAACAGTGGAGCCTTCAACATTAGCTGCTGATCCTACATGCCCACCTGGACTTTATTCCCGATTGGATAAGAACGGTTTACCAATATTGGATGCAGAAGGAATACTTAACTGTTACTCTGAAGGTAAGATGAACCCTCTGCTAACCTCATGTTATTCTTACAAGAGAATTAAGTAGCATGATGTGGATTTGGTGGACAGAAAAGTTTTGGCCCAGTTTCGAACTGCATTTGGCTCTTGTATAGCAAGTTGTGTCACAGGCATGTAGTTAGTATCCACAAGACTTGATCCTCTGTAATTTAGAACCAGTATTTCAAGGATAATTTCAGTTAGGACGTATACAGTACACCTCAAAGGATATCCTCTTGCTATGCTTAAATAACCTCTGCTATGCTTTCACTGTGCCTGAGATGAGCATACATTTTATGAAAAAAGTGTGTTCCTCTTACTGCTGCCCACTCTAAAACAGCAACAACTGCTAGCTGGTTTTCTAGGCAAAAGCACAAAACAATGATTTGCAACCACATAAAGGACAAAACAACCCCTCAGTGGTCACACTAGAGGGGAGGTGTGTCACTCTTTCAATATTGTACAATATGTTCCCCTATTCTAGTTCATTTTGTGGAGAAAGCTGTAGTTTATGGGGTTTGTTTCTTTCTAAAAGTGAGTAGACACGGATCCAACAAGACACATGAAAGTGTCTGCTGCTTTTGGTTGACAGTTGTCAATGCAGTGGCCTTTGAATCTTCAGAAAATTGAAGAAGTAGGAGCTCTTACAGAAGATTAGTCAGTTAAGCAGACTCATGGCCCATTTCCACTGAGTGATACGGTACGGTATGGTTCGGTAACCTGTAACATGTCTTTACTGCCAAAGAGTACCAATGGTACACATTTGAAGGACGTGGTGGATGACAGAAAGTTGCAGTCGACGTCATTCTCATTAGAGAAAATGTCTGCAGTGAACCTGGGTCATTTACATATCATACGAGAAGCACTTCTCACAAAACAGATGCTTTATACACATAAATACTTGTGTATAAATGCTCATTACGCACTGTCAGATCAATGACAGTGCGAAGTAGCCTACTGTAACATCTGCAATTATATAAAATAAAATAAAAAAATGAACGCAACATATATGAACACATACAACCCCTTACAGTGTCCGATATGTTACCAATTACAGAAAAAACGACATAGAGCATACATTTAGCCCGTATTTGGGTTCAAAAACAACACACAGCATTTAGCCAAGGCAGTGCAAACCTTTCATTTGTATGTTTATTCTTCACCAGCATATGTAACCTTGTTAGAAAGTAATTCCATCATTTTGAGTTCATAATAGTCCAAAAGGTGATGATACTGTAATAGTTAAACATGGCTGTTTTTTCATGTTTTAGGTTGCTGAAAGAATCATTTGCTCCCTTGTTTTTTGGGCTTCTCCTTTGTTTTGTCACACTTCACTCTCACGTTTTTCTCACACTCTATTTTTGAAAGGATCGAATAATCACGTCTACGTTAGTAATATGAGCTTAAGAAGTTTGTTATTTCAAATATAGATGCGGGGCGAGCTCATACAAGAAAGCGAAACCGCTCGCGCTTTAGGTGGCCTTGTAAACAACTACAGCGCACCGGATACATTATACTCTTCTTCTTAGCTTTGTGACTGTTCATCAAGACAACGACATGGTTTGTTTAATTTCGGGTCGACCATGGCTCGTTATTATATGTATATATTATTACGATGTAATGTCTCAGCTTATTTAAAAATGGCGATTCCTTTGTTTTCATTCCACTGCTAGTGTACAGTATCTCTGTAAACCAATATCATTAGCATTAGCACAATAGCAAGTTCACCTTTTGGTACCCTTTTGTCGTGCTAGGTACCCTTTCAAAAGGATACCCAAAAAGTGGCATAGTACTGTTTCTGTTGACAGTGTAAACGACCATAAAAGCGTACCGAATTGTACCCTACCATACCACTTAGTGGAAACAGGCCATAAGAGAGCCATTCACACAGAACACATATTTGCATCTAAAATGTAAAAAATTGCCTACTCCACCATGTTATTCTCAAATAAAACAGTTGTCACAACTTGTTATTGTAAACAGAAGCATGCAGCTTTAATCTCTGATTGATCTATTGCTTTGGAACTGACATTCATGAGCTGTGCTGCTTGTAAAATTTGAAATTCTAAAAGAATCAACTTGACTTATCAAAAACATGCTCACATAGAAAAACAATGGAAAAGCAATGAATTGATAAGTGTGTTTTGTGTGAATGACCCCTACGAATGTGTTCCTAGATGTAGTTTAAGGACATTTGGTCATTAGGTATTCACATCACCATTTTTCAGACCAAACATAAAGATTTATAAGCTTCTTTTTTTTTTTTACAGAACTTGCAAATTAACTTATTTCCTAAACAATGCAGTATTCTGGGTTACACAACAGCATTTTTTTAAATTGAGAAATCAGGAATAGCTTATAAAATGTGTAAAAGCATTAGGAAACTAACCAGCTGCAAAGGGGCTGACATCGATACTATACTTAAATGAGCAACTATGACTAATAAAACCATGTTCTGTTATTTTAAGGGTCATACAGTATATTGTGGTATCTTGAAATGTTTTCAGTTCCTTTAGACAACTTTGGTTTGTGTTGGGTTAAATCATTCAAAATAAAATCTATGATATGCATTTCCAATAGAGCTGTGGTGATTTTCCATCTACTGTATGCTGATTTAAAATGTATATTTTGTTGCATCTGTATGTATATAAATGATTATGCATCTAAATATAAGCTAAACATTTAGTTTGCTGATTGCTACTGAGTTTACCAGTGTAACTAAAAGTGTGCCAGATGAGATGATTTATTTGTACCACTAAAGCAGAGTATTCCTCTGGCTTTCCTGAGAAAACAGTTCAGAGATGAGTTGTGGTCATGGTCAGCATTGGCATGTGATGTTGCTGTTACTGATGGAGATGATCTTGGTTGATTGTTTTGTTTGCTGGCTGCCAGGCTACGAGCAGGTTGTTTTACTTTTGCTTCATGTAAGGCCATTTGTACCCCATTACTCTATTAATTCCAACTTTAAAGATGCCACTTGTTTCCTGTTGTTTAAGGAGGTACATTCTTTCCCATTTTTCTCTATGCTAAAGTGGCTTCAAAGTTGCAAAATGAAAATCTGTGCACAAACTTGGATGACCTTTCTAAAATTACAACTAGAAGATGTTTTATAATCATTTGTTATGTAATTCTGCTGGTTTGAACACAAGACAGCCAAACTGCAATCGGGGACAAGCCTGTTTACATACAGTTTTAATAATTACTTGGCTTGTCCAGATAGTAATTTCCTAGTTGTGACAGGAATCACTGGGCAAGTCTATTCAAACCATAAGGAATAAAGTGGTCACATTCTCACGACTATAACAGAGCACTAACATTAGCTTACATTTTAAAACAACTGCTTTTATTAACTATTCAGACTTTGTAATATGTAGTGGCTCTTAAATGTAACACTATTAGACCCTTAAATCTAATTTCTTCCAAATAAACACTACTTGGCTCGATATTTGTACATATGGCATGAGTGTCCAAAATCATTTTGGACCACTGTGAAGTTGGATACTACATACTGCAGACTTTTTTTCTTCCTGTTTTTGATTGCTATTCTATCTTTCAGATGAGCTTTTTGAGGAGAGCACCACAATCCCAGTCCCACTTCCTACCACAACACTGGCTTCCACAACACAGACTCTCACTCCTGAGACACGGCCATTTAACAACACTCCTTCCTCTGAGTTTGATGTCACTGGAAAGAAACGGTTTACAGGTAATACATTTGCGTTAGCACAAGTTACAATAATTAGATTTCTGATATATATTGCTATACTATTTGTTCTTCTTGGTTCCAAACTCACGAATACCATGCTGAGATTGAACCTCTCAGAAAACACTGAACTGGCTGTTCATAGTTAATTTCTTGCCAATCACCTCAGCATTTCCTGTAGATGTGAGGCACTGGAGAGTTGAATGGTGAATGTGAAGGAAATTTATCTGGCCGGCAAATGCAGCTCATTCCCTTGGTGTTGCTTGTAAGCAGCAAATAAAATAGTGCATACAGCTGACCTTAAGTAGGATTTATATGCAAATACTTGGTTTCCCTTGGTAGTGCCATAATCTTCCAAACTCCACCCAATTAGCAGAGTTCACCAAAATGTTCAAAAACAGCTGCTCTTAAAGGGAATTTTCAGTGTTGCCTTTAGGTTCAGTATGAATACTGTATATACCGAACTAGGGCTGACGATATATATAATATAGATTAAATTTTTAAATCTATCATTTCAGATTATGCTCTATCATTTAATTCATGATGTTGCAAACATAAGTTTATGATAATTCTATTTCAAATTTTAGATTAACTCAGTTAAAGGTAGAAATAACATAATACAATAACAATGCAGTGAGAAAGTTGCAAGCATGTGAGTACATTGTTTTTATTTAGTATTTTATTTAGCAATATTTTATGTTGCACCTGTAATCGTAAGTTTTAAAAGTGTTTTATATTTAATTAATATTTATTTTATATTTCTACTTTCTTAATCAAACATTTGCCCTGAGATTGTTAATAAAGCGAGAACAATAATCACATATGATTGAATACATTTTTTGGTAAAAACTTGAAGATGTATATAACAAATAATCCTTGTGATATTTATATTATATATATTATAATATATATATATATAATATATATAATGTGATATTTTATATATATATATATATATATATATATATATATATATATATATATATATATATATATATATATATATATATATAAAATTAATAGAATATATAAATAATTATTAGAATTTAATTGAGGTGCTATATCATGATATATATTGTTATAAGGATATGGGAATACATAGTTTGTCCGCCAGCCCTATACCAGACAATTATCGTTATTATAATATTTAATGTATGTCAGTGGAAAACATGTTTTATATATCTTCATTTTAAAGAATCAATAGAAATTCAATACCAACGTTGATTTTTTTAATCTATGCTGTTTTAATTGATGTATTATCACCCTGCAGTCCAAGACTTTTTGGAGCTGAGCCTAGTTAGTACCTGGATGGAAGACCACACGAGAAAACTAGGTTGCTATTGGAGGTAGTGTTAGTGAGGCCAGCAGGGGGCACTCAACATGCGGTCTGTGTGAGTCCTAATGCCCCAGTAAAGTGAAGGGGACGCTATACGTCTCCGTCTTTCAGATGAGTCATTAAAATACCCATTGCACTTTTTGTAAAGAGTATGGGTATAACCCCGCTGTCCTGGCCAAATTCCCTCCATCGGCCTTTACCGATCATGGCCTCTTAATCATTTCCATCCACAAAATTGGCTCTATCACTGTCTCTCCACTCCACCTATAGCTGGTGTGTGCTGAGCGCATCGTCGCCGTTGTCCTGTGGCTGTCATCGCATCATCCAAGTGGATGCTGCACACTGGTGATAGTGTGGAGAGACACCCCCCCTATTTTTTTACATTTATACAGCACACAATTGCAAGAATCTTTGTTTTGTTACTATCAATAAGAAACAAATCGTGAAACGATGTCAAAACAGCTTGTAAACATACATTTTCAGTGAGATCTGGTTTGGATTGTCAAAAATAAACACAACCAAAACACAGAGTGATTGGATCCTGTTTGAATCTCTGAAAATGCATTTAAGTGCTGTTAGATTTTGCTGTATTTGGCTTAACCGTTCTTGGGTGGCTCGCCAATGTATTTGATTACTCTAATACATAAAATAAGTATGCTGACCAAAGTTCTTACGGAGAGAAGACTTTATTGAAGACAATCAATAGTGCAGTTCCTCAGCAGTGATGTTAACCCGTCGGTCTTCAAGTAACTTAACTCAGGCCCCGTTTACACTAGTACGTTTTAGTTTTAAAACAGCGTTTTAGAATGAAAACGATCCGCGTCCACACTCGCGTTTTACCCAGCGTTTCTGAACTGCTCTCCGTCCACACCAAAACGCTGAAAACGCACATCACGTGACCACACAGACGCTCTCGGGCAAGCGCTGCAGCCCATGTACCCAGATGAGAGCTCTGCTAGTCGGACTTCTCATCAAGCATCTCCCGCTGGATCTAATCTCACTATATTTATTAAACGTGATATTTCATTCATCTTGTTGTCTTTATCTAACGACATATTCCCTGACTTTGGGCATTGGAATCTATTACTTGTTCTCAGGTAACGTGTTTTGGCTGAGCGCAAAGATAAGTTAATGATTAATGTAACCACGTACATTCTGTATATTGACTTATCGCTTGCCTTTATTTCCTATAATGTATAAACTTATTGTATGTTATACTTTTAAAATGGCCATTATCGATTCTTAAAACTGATACTCAGCAAAAGAGAGGGGATGTTTCGTATTTTCACTGAAATTGAAAGGAGGCAGTTGTTATCGGCTCCGTTTTGTTATAAATATCCACATAGTGAAGATGACGCTCATCTTATACAGCACGGCGCCTCAACATGTCTGCTGTCTAAGTTGCTAATATTAAAATGAAAATAGGCAGTTCCTTAAATCATGTATACATTTTATTGTTGAGAAAGTGAAACAACGAAGCCAGGGTGATGTGAGTGAAGTTATAAAGTACACTGTTCCCTTTGAAGATTTACCCGTGTCCTCGGTATAGTCTGCTTTTCCATATCAAACTGAGAAGAAGAGACTGCAGCCTTGATCAAACTTGCGAAGTCTGAACTTACACGGAGAGAATGCAGGACTGAACTGTGTGTTAGGCTACTTAATATTCAGGAAAAGCCCCAATCAGAGAGGCGAACGTCTGCAGCCCCGCCTCCGTTTTCAGATGTCTCCGTTTTCCATCATCCACACTGAGACGGAGCAGCAGCGTTTCAAAATGAAAACGGCCTCTCCAGCGTTTTCGAAACGCTCCGTTTTCGGCGCTCGAGAACTCCGGCGTAGTGTGGACGGTTGGCGTAACCGTAGCAAAACTTATGCGTTTTCAAACTAAAACGCATTAGTGTAAACGGGGCCTCAAAGTACTGTCTGTGAGACAGTACTTTATATTAGCATCAAACAAACCATTCTGTTTACGAGGCTCAGCAGGACCCTCTTCAGATGTTTCAGCTGTTGTTTTGCTAATACCCATTGAGATTGTAAAAGGGTCATTTAGTTCACACCTATCAGTTTGTGGGGGTCGAGGCACAGGTCACCCCATCATATCACATCAGAGTTTAATCAATGTAAATGCAACTGAACTAAAATGCACATAATCTTTCAGTGCCTGGGACAGGTTTTTACCACAGATGTAAATGCCTTAATTATTCGCATTCAGCTACATGAGTAATTAATGAGATTATGCTGTGAATAAACATGTCACATTGACAGATTCAGTCATAAAACCCTGGTATTGCACGCTCTTTTCATAATAGAAAATAGAAGTATGCAGATATAACATGAATGCTAATACCAAATGTAAAGCAGCCTGTTTCATATTACTTGAAAATTTCATCTCACATGATACTTTAGAAATCATTTTAATATGCTGTTTCTCTGCTTACCAATTTTGTAGAAACTGTAATACATTTTTATAGGAGCCTTTGAAAAATAGATTTGGGGTGTAAAATACATTTATTTTCAGTCTTTAATAAAAAAAGATGTACTATGAACAAGAGCATAAAGCTTCTTCAGTTTTTTCAGCTGTAAAACAGGTATTATTTGAAAAGTAATCTTTAATAATAATATAAGGATTTCTTTACTGCCCCATTTGTCTTGCTGAAAAGTATTACCTAAATTTTCAATAGACTTAAAAAATCTCACTGACCCCAAACTTGTAAATAAAGAGCAAAGAAGAGAATATGGTAGGAGGAACAATAAAAACGATAAAGCTTTACCATTAGCCATACCACTTGGATCATGTTACTCTTAGTTTACCTTTGACTTTTAGAGGTCTCTCCCCTATGGCCTGATTTTAACTAACCTTATCAACTCTCAGGTTCAAAACAAATACTATCTACCATGTGTTGGTAGAGGCTCTTGCAGAGGCCATTGACTTTACGGCCTCTAAGGGCTCAGGTTCTTTCATGTGGGCAGCTTCAGTAGGAAATATCTGAGAATGCCTGAGTGAAAGTATTTAGACTCGGCTCTATAAATTTTGCTCGCATGTCTGTGGCTTTGGGCTTCCTTCCCAAATTCTCCAAGACCCAGTGCGTGTGTTAAGATAAAGGTGTGTGCGTAGTGGAGAAAAAAAGTAAGAAAGAAGCCAAGATTTATTTGGGTCAGTAATTAGGTTCAAATTAATTTAAAGATAGTATGCAAAGATGCCATATATTAGCACAATCAAAATGTGACCCCATGCTACCTGACTTTAAAATACAGCGTTAAATCATTTACCGAGACTGACCATATATGGCCATTCATAGCACATTCAGCATACTCCATATTTCCGAAATTAAATCCACACAAGCTATACTGTACACCTAGCTATGGAACATTGCTTTAGGTCCAGTTTGTAAGAAGAGACTGTGCCAGTAGCCAGATGAGTCTCAGAAATGGTTGTGCTGAGCTGGAGCTAATGATCAGGCAAATTTAGTTCTCCCCTCATTGACTCTTTACAGTACTGAACTTGCTGCAGAGAAGTTCACTTTGCTATTGTTATAAGTACCTGCTAAGCTCATCTTGCACAACTCAGCACAAGTCTGGTCTGATGTCACATAGAAGCATATGACTAATGTGTAATGGACTTGGAGACCCACCCTTTCTACTTTCATTGGTCTTTCTTTCTCTCCTTTCT